AGGTTAAGAGGGGTGGTTCAACGTGAGGCAATAGGCTCAGACATGATTACTTTTTATATCAATTTTTTTCACAATATGACAACGCAATGGAAGTAAGAGCTTTTTGTCCGGAAGATACTTCATGCGGCATTCCATGTCTCTGGACATTTCAGTTTGATTGATAGACCTTAGTGTTGGAATTGAAGTTTGATGGAGAAGGATAGCAATTTTTTCATTCACAAAAATATCTGAAAGGACAAATTTTTCCAGCAAAGTTCATGATTAGCTGCACTTATTGGTGTGTTTTGTATTTTGTCCTAGAACAAGCAAAAGAAAATGTACGTGGTTATGATGAATATTGAATATTTTCTCCAAGCTCATCCAGAAAGAATTATTCGAGTCAAACTCTTTAGTTGTAGAATTATGTTTTACTAATACTTTAATCAGAAGATGTTGCTTAACAGTTGGCATTTCTAGATTTAAAACCTTGCAGTCTACAAACTTCTTATTCGAGTTTGATGGAATTTGGAGTTGACTTTTAATTCCTATGTCAACAGTTATGACATGTCCTTGGAATTTTCTGAGGTAATTTCTGGAGCAGAGAAAGAATTTGATCTTTCTCATTTGGAAACGTGTGAAGTTTGTGTTGGTACTGGAGCAAAGATAGGTTCCAAGATGAGAGTATGCTCAACTTGTGGTGGTCGGGGTCAGGTGATGAGGACTGAACAAACACCTTTTGGAATGTTCTCACAGGTAGGGTTTAGTTCTTTTCCGGATGAATGAGAGTATTGTCACTCTTAAGTCTCAATCTTGCGTTCTCTGCTTAAGTGAAGAAAAAGAAACAACTCTTCATAAGTTGGGAAGTTCTTGGTACTTGGCACATCTCTCTGTAAGTGAGTCATAAAATGCACAATTCAATGAGGTTTCTCCTGCGTGGCTAGAGGAGGAGCACGATATGAATACTTTTCTTGAGAAATTAGTATTGAACCGATCAATTAGAAAAGTTCTGTTTGCCATTAGAGACTTCATGGTGCCATTCAGAGAGCACAGAACAACAATGAAAGTAGTTAGTGTTGTCAAGAAAAATGATATTGCTTTGGTTAAAAAAAAAATGAAAAAATTTGCATGTGTTGTTATTGTCACGACTTGTGTACATTTCCATGTTATTACTGCTGGGAATTGGTCGACTTTAATTAACTGCATATGCAAATAGTCCTTCATTTTATTTTGTGCCTGGAATTATTACATGAGGTGCTTATGGAATTCTAGACAGTTTAAACTTGACAAGATATTTCCATTTCTCATTTACTACATGCTATTATCTCTGTTGCAAAATTAGGTTTCGGTATGTTCAAACTGTGGAGGGGATGGCGAAGTCATATCTCAATACTGTGGTACATGCAGCGGGAAAGGACGTCTACGAGTTAAGAAGAAAATTAAAGTCCAAGTCCCACCTGGGGTTAGTTCAGGCAGTGTATTGAGAGTTGCTGGGGAGGGTGATGCTGGACCAAGAGGGTATGCCTTTCTCATAATTTTATTGCCTGTGCAAAATAAAATTACCCGTTTCTATCCGTAAATTTCCCCCCACTTTGATGATAAAAGAAGATTTATTAGAAATAAAGAAGGAATACAACTGAAGAGGAGTTCCATACAAATATCTTACGATCTTGAAACTTTGAAATGAAATAACGAAAAACATCACAGATGAGTAACCGCCCACATTATCTCTCTTAATTATTATGTCCTTGCTATTTAATAATGAATATTTAAATGTTAAATTTTAAATCGATACACGTGTGCGCACACATTCAACTTCTTCCCCAACAAAATTTCTTGTTATATTAATGGTTTACATGTAGTCTAGTATCAAAGTAGCACGTTTGTGCATGTGAATTTTGACAATTTTGTTGCTTTGTGCATGTTTAACAAGCAGCTATTGATCTTCTTATTTTAGCAGGGGTCCTCCAGGAGATCTTTACGTATACCTTGATGTGAAAGAAATACCAGGAATTGAAAGAGATGGTATTAATCTCTGTTCGACAATCACAATCGGTTACCTAGATGCCATACTTGGAACCATTGTCAAGGTAAATTCTTTTAGAGCATTTGTGCTCATAGCTTGAGTTTCACCCCCAATTAAATTCAATAGAGTATTTCAGTGGAGGGGACTTATCACCTACCTGCACATTCGAATAAAGTGAGAGCTCAGAACGGTGTTCCTATTGCAAGTAGATCTCATGCACAGACTGAGATGCAGTTAAAATCCTACCTGGTAAATAGTGACCTATTATCTGGTAAAGAGTGACCTATTCCCTGTAGGGGACTTGTGCAATGGTTGGAACAAAGACACTTCCATTATGAAATCAAATGTGACATGTGACAGATAGAACAATTTTAGCAAACTGCTGTTGAAAGTTCCTTTAAGACATATCGGACCAAAAGAAAAAAGAAAAAGACATCCCTTAAGGCGCAAAAAATAATATATTTCATTATTGTTATTTACAATTGACTTTTAATATGTTTAACTGAAATAAAAAAAAACTTTAAAATTTATTAATTCTATCTAAAAATTTAACAAGTTGTTAACTTTATTCATATTAAATATACATACTTTAATAATATATTTTCTCTCCATAACATTAAATAGAGGGTAAAAGAGGAAATTTGTGTTGAAAATTTAATAAGATGGTTTATAAATAAGATTAGAAAAAATTCTCTCCCTCTGTCTTATAAATAAGATTAGAGGGAGTAACTCTAGTGTGAATGTGATTGTTCATTGAAAGGTCACCTAGTGCAGTCTAAGCTACGGATTTTATCGCACATCTTTCAGTAGTTGGTTTGAGGGTCCCAATTTACACATCTGCAGTAGTTGGTTTAAGAGTGCCCGATATTGAAATTTTTAAGAATTATGGCTCTGTGTCAATGTTGATGTTATTATTTTATACTATTAATCATTTAATTCTTTAGCACCTGAACAGGTGAAGACAGTTGAAGGCATTTTCGAACTGCAGATACCCCCTGGTACCCAACCTGAAGATGTCCTTGTTCTTGCCAGAAAAGGCGCACCAAAATTAAACAAACCATCAGTACGTGGTGATCATTTGTTTACTGTCAAGGTTACAATACCAAAACGTATCAGGTAATGACTCAATTTGGAATTTTGATTTCTAGTTAAATCTCCCTTTATACTGGTAGTTTGAAGTGAATTTGCCTCTTCCTTGCATCTTCAGTATGAAGGAACGTGAGCTTCTTGAAGAACTTGCTTTGCTGGGCAACAACACTACAAGCAACCGATCAAAATCCCGTCCTAAAACTCAATTTGCTGGTAGGCGGTTTCTTTATGTTTGCAGCTTTATTGCATGGTCTCTCCAACAATGTACAGAATTAACTAGTTATTTGATAACTTCTTGAATGCTTGAATAAGTGAAAATAGATGCCATTTGAGATGGTCTTACTTTTACCACATTTGCAAAGTTTAGGAGGCTTATAAGTCAATTATATTTGAGTGGTGAACTGATACATGAGAATTAAGAATATAAAGTTAGTTTGGGTATCTGGCAATATTTTCAATAAATAGGGTATTACGGATGGAATGGGGTTCTTGTAAATGAAATTAGAGAAAAATTATTTGATCCTTGTAGTTTTAACTTAGTTATGACTCAATTCATGAAGTTTTGACTCAATTATAAATCAGTTCCTGAACTTTGCTTCTTACAATTTAGTTCCTGAAGTTTTAATTTTTTAAATATTGGTCCCCATATTTTAAAAAAGATAAAATTATAAAGATTCAAAATATTTTAAAATTTATTACTAATATTTTAAATTATTTAACATTAAAAGTTTAAAATATTTTTAATTTTCATAATTTTATTTTTTAAAATATGTATTTAAAAGGTTGAAAGTTGAAACTTCAGAGACTAAATTGTAAGAAGCAAAGTTCAGGTATTGATTTATAACCACGTCAAAACTTTAGAACCGAATTATAATAAGTTAAAATTGAAGGATTGAGTTATAATTGGGTCAAAACTACACTAATGAAATAATTAATTTTTTCATGAAATTATTATCTCCCCCCTCTTTTTCTATCTCTATCAAAGGTATTATATTCTTAATTCTCCTAATTACCCCTCTTATTCCTAATCTCCCCGTATCATAAACCATGTGTACCTTCTGCAGCAAGCAGTACAGAAGGGCCATCATCTCAAAAAGCTGAAAGTCCGGCAGCAACGGTTGCAGAAAAAGCTGAACAATCAGAAGATCAAAATGACGTATGGAAAAAGTTAAAGGATCTTGCTAGGTAATAGCTTTCTCTCCTTTGATATTCGGTTTTTTGTGTGCAAGTTTCCTCGTTGATCAGCTTATTCATAGTGCCTCACTGCCTGCATTGAGTTGACTTGGAAGTATTTCTGAACTGAACTTGTAGACCTCTCACAGATGGAGCATTGAAGTGGCTAAAAGATAATCTCTAGTTCAATGGCTTCTTTATATAAAGTCGTCCCAAGTCTCGAGGATGCATTTTATCTTGTTGAGTTAGATCTTTATGATTCCAGAAACCACTAAAATCAAAAGGGCTATGCAGACATTTTAATCACATGCTTGAAGTGAAAATTGTCGGCATTCTACAGCAAAATCAAGCATGAAGTCTTGCATATTTCTTTACTCTCTGTGATTGTATATTTAGGCAATAGGCAGTTTATACAGGATCAATTGTTCAAGGATTCATGGTGTATTCCATTAGCAATTGACTCTAGGAAAAGATGTTGTATGTTTGATAGGAAGTTTAGGCTCTATTTAAGAGAATCACCGAAAACTAACTGGAATTATATAACCTTGTGATTACTCTGTAAATATATATATATATATATATATATATTCTTGCACACATTTTATGCAAGCCAGTTCTGTTGTTGACAACATTTTTTACGTTGGACTAATGCAAAACATTTCATCACTCATTATGTTAAAAATAAGATGCTCAAGAAGATATAAATATTACATTCCTTTACATATCATACGCGTGGTTTTGGCTTTACAAAGTCGAGTTTCAATGGATATCAACATATCACGTTTCTTACATATTAATAAAGAAAGAATGTGCCTTTCAAAGCAGAGTACAGAAGATCATTTGTAATCCGTAGTGCGATCTCTATGATAATCTGAAGATTTTATTAATGAATGAAGAGAAAGAAAATGCTAATAATCAATTATCACAAATTGGCACAACAGGAACCACTTTCTTTCAGGGTTTATACTAAAAACTTGTGTAGAAGCAGGACTCATGACTAGCACAGCAAAAGCTTCCTAATCTTCTTCTCTATCTAAACTACTTTCCTTGATCAAAAGGAAAACAGCTACAAGAACAGGAATTACTATCATAATCAAAGCCTGCACAATGTTGGGTCTGGTTATCACAGGGTAAACTGCACTTCCATACTTGATTGCAGCAGCACCCAGAACAGAACCCGCCAGCAATTTTGCCAGATACCCCCAATCCTCCTATTTACAACATAGAATAACTTAACTCAGCAAAATCTACAATGACAAGCTCATCTCAGAACCTTTTACATTTTTGGGAAATTATAACTTAACCCCACAAAAATAGTGGGATCCGGATTCAATGAGTATTCGAATCCTTTCTCACCTAGTAAGTGTCCCACGTGTTGCTAAGAAATCGTCGATTCTATCGAATGGTTGTCGGAAATGTTAATACATAGAAGATACTGAGAGAACACCAATCTACCTTTTTTATGTCCTATATTTTAATCTAACTGCAGAGAAATGGTTAAAATGCATCTCATAAATTTACAGGTCAAGGATGAATTTTTAAGCATGAATGAAATCTTAGTGCTACGTTGTGGACACTCCTTAGGGGAGAGAATTTGAAAACTCGTAGTGTCCAAATCCAAAGTAATGTACATGCTTTAAAATCTAAACAAAGACACTCCTTTGAACTAAAATAACAAATTTAAATCTCATTTAACCTGCCATGGAAATTCAAATTTTGTTCTTGCTTCTAATTTTGATTATGTAAATATATTGTTATATCGGATATTGTTGGACATCACTTCAGTGCAAGGGGTGAAGCAGAGTTTCCTTAATTTCGAGCCTTTCACTTCAAAATCAAAACTCGAGGATGACATTAGCGTCTGAAAAGAAAACCCGATTGAAATCGAGAAGAGAAAGAGAGAGGAATGTATGTACCGAAGAAAGGAAAGTGCCGGAACTGTTTCTGGAGTTTTCTTCTGCTTCATTACTTCCTCTCTGGGGATCGAGAGCTCGAACAACAAAGAACCTCACCGACCTCGTCGCTGAGAATTGAATTGGGTTTTGGTAAGTGTAGTTTGCAATTCCTGAAAGCTTCTTCCTGGGGCTAACCCTCTCTGAAAAACGGAAGCACCAAGCTGCGACGGTGGAAACAGCTGAGACTGCCATATCCGTCGACCACAATCTCCCACCGTTGAAAAGAAATGTAAAAAATAAAAAAAAGCAGGATCAATCACTACTAAGACGTCGTCGTTTTTGAAAGCACGAAATCAAAACACAAAACATAAAAATAAAAATTGTAATTTAAATAGTTTTAAAGAAATTATTTTCTTAATAATTATTTGATTGATAAGGAAAAATAGGTATAATGAAAATTTTAATATCTCAAGTTTGTCTCAATTATCAATTTTATCCTTTAAGTTCAACTTTTATTGATTTGGTCTTTCATATTTTTTAAAATTATCATGTGAGTCTAATCAATCACATATTTTATATACCTTTTTTTTTAACATTAGTAATCATATTTCATTAGTTTGGACCCTTATATGCATGCTTTTAATATTGAATTTGGTTATTGATTCATTTGCATTGAATTTTAGTATTTGGAGCATTTTGATCATTTTACATATTTTATTAGAATTAATAATTGTTTTTAATATGAAATTTTAATTTCTTAATATATTTTATTATTTAAGTAATTTTTATTTTTATTTTTAAGACGTAGATTTAATTTTGTTGCTTTATGTTTTTAAGGATTAATGGGGCAATTCTCTCATTTTTTTAAATTAGTATTTGACTTTTCAAAGAGGAGGGACCCAGAATTGAAAACGAAAGAAAAGCTCAAACTCGACCATTCACGAAGTCGCTCATCTTCATCACTTCTTCAAGGGTCCGAGTTCGATCACCATCGTATATTCATCTCCTTTAGCTTCGAGTTCGCCACACGCCACCGCTCACATCTCTCCTAAGTGTTCAATCATCATACATCTCCTTTGGTTCTTCTCTTTCCTGAGGATTCATGCCATCGCTCATCTATCTGGGAGCTCACACGCACAGGATTGGTTATTTCCTCTAAGGTTTTAGATCATCACATGCTTGGACGCTCATCTTTCTTCGGTTCAGCTGGTTGCACTTCATCGCAGCTCCTCTTTTCAGTTCTCTCTCTCTCTCCCCTCATTCTTGTCGGTTACAAAGTTCAGTCATAGCATTCATTCATTCATAGATTCTTCGAGTAATTGTCTATTGGCAGCTTCTTGTGAATCTTTTCTTCAGTCAGTAGCTATAGAGAGTGAGATGAGAGGCTAAATCTTTAAGGATTCTCAAAAATGATGAAGTTTCACTTGAGTTTGAGATTCTCTTGATTTCAATTTTGTGTAGCTCAAATATAATTTTAGTTTTTGTTATGATTTTGAATTTAATTCATTGATTCTTGTTAGATTGACTGAATTAATTTAATGTCATTTTTCTTGTTGAGGATCATATTGCTTTGGTTTGCATTTCCATTGAATTTTTGCATTTCAAGTGTTTGATGTAATATTCCAAAAATTATTCCCTTGTTTAATTAAACTAATGAAGGGTAAATTTATAAATTTAAGTATAAATGAGTTTGAGAATGGTTAGATATGGCTAATAGGCTTATTGAGTTTGGTTTTAGTCATTAGATTGGATTCAGAAATGAATTGGGCCACTTGAGCTCAAATTGAAGAGAGAAAAATCAAAATTTGGCTAATTGTGTGTTATGCTATAGCATAAATGTTGCAAATCTGACTAAAAAATGACATTTATGTGTGTTAAAAACAGAGAAAAAAGAGGAGCATGAATGGGTTCATGATCCTCTTTACTAGGACATAATTTTACTGGTGTTTTGGGAAGATTTAGAGTTTATAATCACTAAGGTAAGCCTCCCTTACCATTCCTTTTTCTCTCCACGCCATTTTTAAGTTAAGGTTTGTAGTTGAAAAATGATTTTTAGACCTTAAGAGTTTTAGGTCCGAATCCATTAACTTAAATGGAGTTAATAAAAGTTGTTTGAGTTATTTAGAGATAGAGGTTTTATGCATCCATGAGAGTGAGCTTTTAATTATGGATGAATTTGTGCATTTAAATGCCATAAATGGGGGTGCTTGAGATAGGTGGTTGCCATTAATATTGATTAAGGATAGTGTTAGTGTTAGTCAGAGCTAATGAGAGCGAATGAACCTAATGTGGTGATTAAATTCAATAGTTGAGAACTTTAGGTTATTAAAGTGTTGAAATTTGAGAGTTGAAAGTTAGTTAATTTTGACATTGATGATAATTTTAGGTTGTTGGATGATATATTAGTGATTATTTAAGTTATTGAGAGCTAAATAAAGTTAATGAGAATTAAGGAACTCATAGGATATGAGGTTGATCTTGTAGTTGAGAAATTTGGTTATTAAAGTATGAAATTAGATGTCGAAAGTGATGTTGCTAATGATTAATAGTGATGCGTGTTAATGTAATTGTAAGCTAACCTCACGAAGCACCGATGAGCTTGAATTTAGCTTGGAAAGCAAGTTGTGATTAAGGAGTAAATCTTTAACCTTTTATAGGTTTGAGGTAACCAGGAAAAACATGTTTTATATAGTTATATGTTAATTAGATATTTGTTGAACTCTATGTTTTGAACTCATTGATATATGAATATTATTTGATACAAATTGGCAATATGATGAGTTGTGAAAGAATTTTAAAAAATGAACCTCATGTATGATGTATATTGAGATTTAAGATTATGATTGATGGTATATCATTATGAAATTGAGAATAATATGCTACTTTGATGCGTGGAGTGCGATAACCATGTGAGTGAGAATATATGCATCAACTATGTTGGAATGACATTTAGTGTTGAGATATGCATATTGTGTTAAAATGGCATAAAGTATCAAGTTTGTGCATAGCATGATCATTGACAGGAGTTCGCTTAGGGAGAGAAATAGTTGATTAAACCCACGTAGTATTGGCGGCGACCGTTGGAATCGGGAGCTTTCCTTGGCATCGATTGTTAGAATCGGGAGGTGGCCCTTATCCCATGATTGATTCGGGGCTATCCTACTTGTTCTATAAGGGACTCAAATCTAACTAATCTCCACTGGTTTATGAGGAGGCTGAATTAAGGGTACGATACTCTATGGTTGTTAGCATTAGAGAAAATTGAATTACACAAGGGAGTTGACCTTGCTTGGTAACTCTTCACAAGTGGAAGGTTGGATTAGTTCGTGAAGTTTATAGCCACTGAATAGCCATCGGTTTCATGTTGGAGGTAATTAGGAGGGTATAAGGTTGGTATATGATCATGCATTTAGTCCCGACTATATGATTGTTAGTATTGTGATCCAATACATTTAAGGGCTCATGGTTGGTATCATTACGACATTAGGTTGTACATATGATATATATATATATATATATATGATTATGTGTTTGAAGCCTAATCACATGGTTGTTATTATTATAGACAAGGCTCTACATTGTCATACATACTTTATATATGTGTTTATTATCAATTGTATCCGTTTTTGATTGATATGCAACTATATAAATTAAGCGAAACTTGACTACCGAGTGGTTATACTCACCCCTCTATTTAACATTTTAGAGGCACTAGTTTTGAGCAGGACAAAGGGAAAGCACTAGAGACTTACTCAATTTCCTATTGTAGGCCTCTCGTAATTTTAGTTGCATATATGTAATTAATTGATATTGTCAATTAGGATGATTATATTTTGTTATTACTTGCACTATTAAATATTAAGTATTGAAAGGTATATTTTAGGCCTAGTGCGTGTGGTATTTTTTTAGTTGAAATACATGAGTAAGGTAAAAATACTAGTGCAAGTATAAATTTAACCATATACATGATTATATTGGATTATATTAAATTTTGAAGTCAAAATGTCTCCCCCTGTTATTTCTTAAATCAAGGGGTTGAGGGTTGAAATTGTGAAATATGTGACATAAGTTATCCTAAGTCTATTAAGTGTAGTCTAAGGGTTAGGGTGAGCTTTTAACACTTGGATTAAGTTTTGGATGCCCTAGTTGTGTTTTGAAAGCATAAATGAGTAATTTTGTATTTTAGTGTCCAACTTTTGATTGAGAAATAATTTGAATGCAGTTAGCTAAAGCTCAAAGAAAGCTTTCGTAGACATCTAGATCATCTCAGTCAAACGTCGGATGAAGATTTGGTATGTGTCAAAAGTTTGGCCAAAAAATCTGCCATGATAACTTGTTGCTGTCATGGATTCTGCTGTTTATGCCACAATATAAAAATTTATACTACAACATAATTGTGCCTGAATTAGTTTTTTTTCCTATTTTGACCCTAGTTTGATTTTATCTTACCTTGTATGATGTCTATGCTTTTGTATACAGGTTTTGCTTTGATTTTAATTTATGAAATGATTTTATATCATTTTAAGTTTTGAAAATTTGGGATCCCGTTTATGAAAATTTTACAAACTTGGTAATTCATTTGGATTATTCCTGTGATTACTTTAATTTTGTGAGGTTAATTGTGGATAAGTAAGGGTGATGTTACATTTAAGTATTTGCTTTAATAGTTATTACTTGTTGAATTTGAACTCTTCTTGATTCTTGCTTGATATTTTTGATTTATTTAGCTTCCATTAGGTTTTAATGAGGAGGTGATTGTTTAGATTCAATCGTTTTAAGTGTTAGAGCAAGATTTTAGCAAGATAAAAATTCATTTATGAAAATTTGTTTTATCAAAGTTTGACAACAATCTAGGGATTATGTTTCTTGGTCTAAGCCATATTTACCTAGTCTTAGTGGTTATTAGGCTTTTATTTTGTCAATTGAGTCACATAGGAACCGAGCTCTTGGAATTAAGGAGTCTATGATAGTAGAATGGATTTAACACTTGAAGAATTCACTCATTTGCTTGTTTGAGTCAATTTTCCTTCCATTCATTTTCACTTTAAATATAGAAAATCAAAAATACTTTTCTTCTTGATTATGTTAAACCAACATTATTTTTAACTTGTGAAAAATGGTTTATGAATTGTCTTTGGTTGCTTAAGCTTGCTCTCTTAAGATTTTAATGACTTAAGGTGTATTCAACTACATTCTAGTTTCTTTAAAAAGTTTGATGTGACTTAGAATTCTTTAATTTTTTTTAAAAAACTAACTCTCAAAATAATCTAATGTGTAAAGTATATTAATAACTTAACATGTATTAGGTAAATGAAAATAAATTAACCCTCAAATTAGTTTAATTTTTATCAATATAATCATTTACATTGTGTTTTGTTATCTTGTTTTTAAAATTTTTAGAATTTTTTTACCAAAAGAATTATATTTATTATAATGACCCTAAATTTTAAATTAAATAATTTTCTTCTATTTGATATTTTATTTATTTATTTTAGTTTTATGACTAATAAGAGTATTAGTCTAGTAGACTTTATACTAGATACTTACTCGAAGATTTAAAGTTCAAATTTTACTTAATCCAAAAATTAGTTTTATTTTGTTTTATATACTAAAGTGCCCTTACTTCTTGTTATAAAAAAGAATGATAAATAAAATATTATAATAATAATAAAAATCTGATGGGGTCATTACATGTAATTTTTTCAAGAAGTTTTTTATTTTATTCTCTTTCTTCCTTATTCTTCATTCAGACACAGAGTGGGTAGAGAGCGAGAGAGAGCATCGTTCTTCTATTTCCTTCTCTTCCCTGTCGCACTGCCTTTCTGTTCTTTAGGGTTGATTTTCTCTGCTCACTATCAGCTATGTCTATTCCTCGCTATTACGTACCGCCGTTGGAAGTGTTGCTATCACCAGATCCTCTTCTTGCCACCGCTCCTGTTTCGTCCTAATCTTCTCTGCTGTATCGTTAGTGTGTGTGAGCTTTAACTTCCTTTCCTATTCAGTTATAGGACACGCCTATGTGTGTTTGATAAGCTTAATTCTTTTCTTTTGCTAGCCAATGATTTCTAATGTTCTTCCCTCTCATTCGTGCGGCACATTGAAGCTTTTCCTTTCCTTCTTGGAGCCGACCATGTGCTGATTATAACTGTCACTACTGCACTTTGGGTTAAGGTAAATTGTCGGTGGTTTCTTCTCTTCCTTTGATTTCAACAGTTACACCAAATCATTTTCTCTTGCTCCCCTGGCCAAAGATGAGTTTTTGCTCTTCATTGTTGCTATCATGATTTTGAGGAAATTGAGGTGTTGTTTGGTTTATGCAGGGTGTTATTCATTTTAGTGATGAGTTGAATCTTGATTGTAGAATTAAACATTTGAAGAAGTTGGAAGCTTGGATGCTGGGTTCATAATTTAATTAGTTGTGAATGTTCTTATAGTGCTTATAGGAATGCTCAAAAGAAGAAATTGATGGGAATAAGATTTTTAATTTTCATACTAAAGCTTAAAGGAATTATATATGCTACTTGAGGAAATATATGTCTTCATATGAATTGTAAAGTTGATCTACCCATTAGGATTGTACAGCATCTAAAAGGAAATTGCTAGACTATATAATAATTAAGATTATGTTAAGCTTGGATTAAGAGCTATGTCGATGATCAAGATTGAATGCTTCCAAGTATTGTTGATTACTTGATGGAATTTATTGGAGGATTTAGTGAGAGTTTAAGAGGTTAATAATGTTGAAGAGCTTGAATATTAGTTCACTTGCTTATATTAAGAAGGAAAATAATAATGACATAAGAGTTGCTGGTTTAAATGTTAGGTTAATTTGGGGCATCATTAAAGTAAGCGTAAAATTGAAGGAGTCTAATTATAAGATTATTGAAAACCTCAGGTAAGTGGGTAGCATTTTGAATAAATTTCTAGCAAAATGTTTATAAAATTTCTTTATTTAAATTTTAATATTATTCTTTTATAGGCGGTATAAATATTCTTGCAAATGCAATCTTTATAATAATTGATTTATAAATGATGATTTCTTGATTTTGCCCATAATTTATGTTATTGCCAAGTAATGATTGAAGTTGATATATGACAAATGGTATTACGTCTCAAAAGTAACTTAATAAATTCTATGTTTGATATGAAAATTTTTAATATGACAATTTATGCATGAAGGATAGGAAGATGAACTTAAGAAATGGAAAATGATTGTTGAATAGCTTATTTGAAAGTGAAAAATTTTAAAAATTTTATTCTTACTCCATACATGCTTGATTTTTAATTAAGGGGACTGAATTTAGAACGCTAGATGGTAATGGTAGTTCTGTTAGCCCTTGGCGTGTCATGGTATACCTAGCTAGCAGGGTGCATTAAAGATGCTAGCCTTATGTACCGGTCAACACACGTGAAATGGAAGATGTAGTTTTGTGAATGTAATCCATGCCTATTATTCGTGAGTTTTATGCTTGAGCCTGTTTTTCATGGTTCCTTGCCACACCAGATATTTACTTATCCTTATGGACTGTGTATCCATGCCTATTATTCATTTTGATAAAGCCTTCTAGATTAGACTTAAAACTTATTGTTTTTATATTAATTTCTTTAAAGGCATTTTTTTAAAATTTCACCATTACTTGAAATTTTATATATATTATAAATTTTTTATAAACTTATTTGGTTCTAATATTGTTGGTGGTTCCACGATTATACCATTAAGCAAACTTGTCATTTATTATTAATTAAGGCAAGTGCTTCATTATTTCCTTAATTTTTTTAAATTAAATTATTAGTTACCATTTTCATATTTTTATTTATTTATTTATTATAATTTACACACTTGATTGGAAAGCTATTCACAGAAAATTTCTTTGATCTCAAATATTGTAGTTGACCCTGCACCTTTTGCTGGTCATTAAGGGGCAGTATTACTTTTTGGATAGTGGGAGCAATCTTTGACAATTTATTTCGATCCAATGATATATTATATTAAAATTATAAATTTAGCATTCCACTAGTCTTATTTTGTTGTTGTGAAATATATTGGCGCGGAGTTAAGCTCCTTTCTGATTTGGTTGATCGGTTTTGCTATTGTAGAAATTTTGAGAGGTCTCAATTACAGGGGAGATTTTGTTGAAATTTTTTTACAAAATGTTTAAAGTTTTACCAACTTTATAATTATATATATATATATATATAAAGACTTTTTGACTAGTAGGGTTTATTTATTGATATTTTATTTTTATATCTGGTTAATTAAGGTTAATGAAATGTGAGTGTATCTCATATCCTGTGCCGGTCACACCTTTAATACCAGGGTGTGACACTTATTTTCATTAATTTACATAGCTAACATCAATATTATGTTATCCATGTCAGTAAATTTTAACAATGCAACGTCACTTTTAAACAATAAGAACCAAACTGAAAAATGAAGTAAGCTTAAGGGATTAAATTGATAAAAATTAAATGTGAGGGACCATATCAATAACTAAGATAAATTTAAAAAACTAAAAGTTGTATTATCCCAAACAAATACTAAAATATTTCTACAAAATTATTTAATTTGTTGTTGTTTTTTCAATTGTTCTTATTTTTTATACAAACAGTTCAACTTAACTTGCCATGCAAGATATTTTTTTTTTAGTGAAAATGATTCAATTGCTAGAATAATAACTATGGACTCACTAATGTTGGCATGAGTGAGTAGGAGGTTCAAACTTCAACTATTATGTACTTCCTTCAATCCTATTTATAAGATATTTCTGTCAACTTTATCAATGTCAATACAATAAAAGTATAAGGAATAAATGAATGAAATTTCAAACTTAATATTTAAGTAAAAAGCAAAAAATGAGCAAACCATATAATATTATTTTTATATCTCTCTCTTACTTTGCAATGGAAAAGCAAACTATTGGTGGCGAAAGTAAAATGAATGAGAATTGCTCTAATTAGGCAAGGGATGAAAAAAAATGAAATTTATAGCCCTTTACAAGGGAGTCCTTTACAAAGAAATAGACAGTTACAGCCCTTTATAAAGAAACAAAAGGGTGACCGCTAGTAGGTTTTCCATTATGGAAAGTTGGTGCTTCTCTTTTGATTTAAATGCTCTAGCCATGTGGGAGAATTAGGAAAATAGTGGGGATAATGAAGTAAATAGGCAGATGGAGTCAAGCAACAACATTTCGTTGGACTTAAATGCTCCTTCTATGTGTGAGAACCTCTACTTGAACAGCAATCAAATTGAATATCAACATATTTCAATGAATGGACATTTGTCTTTTTTTTTAAATGCATGGCATATCATGAAAACTATACATCATCTTATTTAGTAAAAGCACTGAAGGGATGGTACAAAACAATATGCATGTCATTAACTTGTAATAAGGTGCTTCTTTTTGCCCCTGATGCCCTTAAGCACTTCATCTCCTGCCAATGTGTCAACACATGAGTCCAAACCTAATATCTTTGTCAGAACTATTTTAATACCTCAGAATATTTATGAAGACCTAAACAGGGAAATAAATACACAAATAAGGCATAATTCTTATATCCTTTTTTTTTAAAAAAAAAACAGATACTAATATTTAGGAAGAAATTTCTTTCCCATTAAAATTGATTGCAAAAAATTTAGAAGAACAATATTAATTTGCTTCAGTAACACAAAAAATCTACAAAAATATTTGAGTTGGTTGATGACATTTGAGCTTTAGAACCATAATTATCTATTTTTAATTTTTTTTATCAAACTATGACCCATTATTTTTCTTAGCCATATGAAGGAGAACTCTAATCATAACCCTCTATCTTGAACATGATTTTTAATTTTCTGTTGTCAACCTTTGTCTTTCATTTGTTTCTTGCTTTTGTAACTGTCATATGGTCTGCAATGAAATGCTAACATCAATAAACTTTTGTACATTCATCCCAAATCATATGACATGTCATCACATTGAAACATAGGCAAATATGGAAGACAATATAAATGAATCACCAAGGTAGTCGCATGTAAAAGAAGAATGTTCTTATCATATGAAGGATGTGTAGCCATTTATAAAATTTTGTTATACTGAAGAAGTCATGGTAAGTTGAATAGTTTTATAATAAGAGAGATAGCTTCAGCGTATTTAGAGCATGCTTGGTTTTTGTTCTTATTTTTTTTATTTTCAAAACTTGTTTTGTAATACAATTTTTAAAATTGTTTTTAAAAACAAAATAAAATGAAAATCCATTTGGTTATGTCAATTAAAAAGCAATTTTAAAATTAAAAAATGAACTAATAGTGATAATTATAGGCAGTTAATAGTAGTTATTAATAATAAAAATTGATCAGCATAACTATAATTTTTAATAATCAAATGTAGCGTATTTTAAAAATAAGAAAAATAAAACGAAAACAACTTGAAGTTGTTTATATTTTTTTGTTTTTAAAAACAAAAAATAAAAATAGTTTTAAAAATAATTAAACAAAAAACACGTATCCAAATAAGTTTTTAAAATTTTCTATTTTCAAAAACAAAAAACAGTTTTTAAAAATAGAAAAAAAATAGGTCCTTAGTTTCAATGGGAGTCATTAAAGACATTTTGTAAGTGTATCCAAATATTTATAGGGGATTTGGAGATGTTTTGAGCTTGTTACACTTTAGGATAAGCTTCATATCCTTCCTCCTTCCTCTCTATGCAAATTTTCTATGGTTTGAAGGTGTTTGAGATTTGATTTTGTCTCTCCTTAGATCTTGACCTAATCCATTGGTTTAGTTAAGATCTTGGAAAGCTAAATCAAGCTTCTCAACTTAGGCTTAAGAGTTTTATAATGATTTGAAATTTTTAGTTAGGGTTTGGAAGAACCCTAATGAAATTTGAGAGATTGAGAGCAATGTGGGTGGAGGATTAGTGTTATTAGTGTGTTTAGGTATTAAATGAAATTAATAAAATGTATTGGAAGTATTAAGGGTGTTAAAATGAGATTTTAGGTATAGTGGGCAATCAAAATTATGCTAAAAAGGATTTAATAAGAGTAATAATTGACGATAATTACTTAATCATGTAGATTAAATATTGCATGGGTGTTGTTATATGTGTAGACCTTATGAAGTAAATATTAGACAACGATAACCTTTTTTGTGACAAAAGGATTGAGATAACCGAATAATTCACTCTATTTGATTAAGCATTTAACTGTTTATAAGTAAATATGTAATTTTGCATACATGTGTTTTGAATGTTGCATATTGCAAAAGAGGGATATTGTGCATTGGAAACGATTTTAAAACAATGAATTTATAAAAGTTTCTCTATATTAGTAATTTATGGTTTTGATATAAGTTTGTGATAATTATGAGAAGTGTGAGCATGATCATGATAGAGGGTGAGAATTCACCTGTAGGAAGGAGTAGTGGAAGTATATATGGCAATTATCTCCTTAGTGCCTTGTAAGATGCTGTTGAAGATTATCTTGTTAGTGTCCATGTGGGTACAGTATTATAGATTTATGCTCCTTGACATTAGTGTAATGCGATTTTGGAGTGACGACACTACGAATAGTGTATGATAGGGAAAATATAGTCCACAAATGAGATAGAACACCTTTAGCTAAGTGATTTTACTACTAAAAGTGTGCTTGGGCCATTATGTATGTGCGGTTGGCCTAATAGAGCTTTTGATTTTAGTTAGGGTGATGTGGAGGTTTAGATAGGAGAATGATCATGATAAAGTGTGAAAGTGACTTATGGATATGAAAATGGTGTTTTGATACACACACACACAGAGCTTTACTTGTTTACAGTTATGCATGTGAATTGATAGTGATAAATTATTTTGTTACTGAAATGTTTATTTCATCCCATGATTACATTTTATAGGTGAGGGCTCTGATAGGGGCAAAGGGAAGGAAGGGACTATTGAGTCTTGAAGAGCTTTGTTTGTATAGTTCTTCTCCTTTCTATTTTGGTATTGTAATGAATTTGTGTTAATTATGCCAACTTAGGATCATGCATTTTTTTTATAATCACTTGCATAAGAACTATTGTGTAAGGGTGTGTATCTTAGCCTAGAATGTTGTATCTATGTTGAAATTATTGTGAGAGGTCTAGATATTAGCGTAAGTGATATTTTTGTGTTGTTTATGTGTTGGAATGGCTAAAATGATATTTGTTGTGAATTGTTAGCAACCCTTTGAAGTCAATGTTGAATTGGGGTTTTGATGGTCAAATTGTGAATGGATTATTTTGGTTGTTGTATAAGTGCTCTATCAGATTGTTTGTGGTTTATTTGAGTTAGTCTAAGTGGTTCAAAGGCTATTAATACCAGGTTGTGGGTTTTGGACACTCTTGTATGCATTTTAAATTAAAAATGAACTAATTTGGATTCAGGTGTTTAACTTTTAAATAGTTAAGCATTTGGGTATGAGAATTCCAATAACTAAAGGGTTTAAAGAGCTACATGTGGATAGTTGAATTGTTCAAATCAGACATCGAATAGTGAAATATTGCATTTTGAAAGTTGGCCGAAAGAGCTATCATGACAGTAGGAGTGCACCACGACGCAAGGCTTGTGTGCCATAGCGTACTGCATAAAGAGGGATGTGGTCCCTCTGTACCTTCCGCCACAGTAGGTGATGCCTGGGTCGTGGTGGATTGTGCATTTCCGAAAATTTTTCTAGAGTGCTTGTTTGATTTTTTTTTAATGATTGTAATTAATTTTTATACTCCTACTTCATTGTTTAACTTATTTTAAACTATGGTTTGAGTTCAAACACTTTCAAAAAAAGTTTTGTTGGGATCCCAATATTTAAACAAATTATTTTTCTAAACTCTTGTGTTGTGATAACCTTATGTAGAGAATTTAATTAATCTTGATTATTACAATGATGTTGTTATGGTAATGTCAAGGTAGACATTACACCTAAACCTTAGAACTATGCTGTCGTGTTGCCATTGCTCACTTTTTCCCCATCATTGATTGCCTCTTCATTCAAATCAAATGAGTGGACTTTCTTTTCATGCTCCACCTTGACAAAGTCTAAAGATGCAAGTGAAGCATCGTTTAAATGAGATGCTCAAAAAAATCTTCTGATTTAGAGAGATTACCTCTTCAAAGAAGTTGAACGAAGAAAAACCTTCTTCCCTATTGAAAGAATCATAGACCATACACGCCCTCAATTCATGCCATGATAGACTTTCAAAACTAAGGTTTTAAAAACCGAATTGGTTATTGAACTGAACTTGCCACTGGTTCACGATTCATTAGTTCAACCATGCCATGGTTGAATCGGTTAATATTAAATTAATATATTTTTAATTTATGTATCATAATTAAATAAGAAATATATGTAAATATTTATATTTTTCAAAACATATTAATAAATGCTTAGTAAAATGATATATTATTGATGAATACCTGATTAATATTAATTATTTTTGGTTGTTCTTTGTTTTTAATTAAGTTTTAAATTAATTTTCAAAAAATTTTAATTAATTCAAACCGGTTTTTAAGGAAATCAATTCGGTTTTCAATCGATTTTTATGGTTTTTCACCAATTTCCTTGTGGTTGATTTTTAGGGGTTAATCGAACAGGATCAAGAATTGGTTCTTGGTTCAACCAGCTGAATTGATTGGTTCGGTCCAGTTTTTAAAACATTGCTCAAAGCCCTTTTCCATCAAATACAAAGCACAGTTGAATGGTGAGATTTTAGCGAACAGTGACAAAAAGAGCTTGATGGAAGAAGAGCGACGATATTGAATGACGAGATTGTAGCCAATGTTAACCAGAAGATAAGTGAGATTGAAGTGAGTGATAGAGAGAAAGAGAAAAGATGAAAATAAAAGTAAGGGAGAGGCTATCGTGAAAAGAGAGAGAGAGAGAAGATGAAGAGAGGGGACATAATGGTAAAGTAAAGATAAGGATAGTTTAAAAATTTTAATTTGAAACAAAACATCTCCATTAACTAGCGGCTTATAAAATGGATCATTTTGAGCTTCTAGAAACATCTAATAAACTGGATTGGAGGGAGAAATTTATAACAACTAAATATTTATGGAAAAAAGAATAACAGTAGATGAACAACAGAACAAGTACGGATCACATCAGTTATTAAAAGGTTACGCTGTGTTGTACAAAAAAATAAAAGGTCATGCTGTAATGGGCCATGGCCCAAGATGAGCTTCAATGTTCGCGTATTGATTACCGTTTGACGTCATCTTGCCACCGGTTGAAAGGCGAATCTCACCCCCCCAAAGCTTCAATCAACCTCTTTCCTCGTTGTAGTTCTCCGTTTTCATCCTCCAAACCCTAATTCTCCAATTGATCGCAAACTCTGAAGTTTATCTGTTGTTCCTTCTTCAAGCGGCCAAGATGGTTCTAGCTCAGTTAGGGGGGAGCATATCTCGTGCTCTCCAGCAGATGAGCAATGCCACCATAATCGATGAGAAGGTTCTCAATGAGTGTCTTAACGAGATCACCCGTGCTCTTCTTCAATCTGATGTTCAATTCAAACTCGTACGAGATATGCAGACTAACATCAAGAAGATTGTCAACCTCGACGATCTCGCTGCTGGCCACAACAAACGCAGGATCATTCAACAAGTACGATTTTCTGTTAAATTCGGTCCTTTTTGGTTCCTTTCATTAATGAATATAAACTTTTCAAATTCTTAGGGGAATAGTTCTTAGAGGATATTTACAAATTTTGCTTGGCTTGATTTCTACTGGTAGATAATCCAATTGTATTTTTGAGGCAAAGTTTGATGCCCGTTGTCTGCATTAAAATTTATAGTGAAGCAAATAACACTTCCTTGAGTATTCATCTGTAAAATTGTCAATACTTTTTCCCCTGATAGATTCGGTAGGATGCAGTTTGAAGGTTGTGCTGCTTGTTTATATTCCTGCTGCATGGCATAGTGTTGATTTTGTTAGTTATTTCGTGGTTGGAGGTGGATTTATCAGTTATGGTTCAAATCTCGTCAGTTAGTTTATTTCCTCATTGGGAGAGGGCTGCTTGTTTTTTAATATTTCTTTTTAGGCCTATGAACAAAATCATCAAGTCATCGAGACATTATTTGTGACTTTTTCCCTCTACTTTCGGAAGAAATGAAGGACTTAAAGTTCAAAGGACTATGTTGCCTTGGGGTGACATATTGGCTAACAACAATTGTGTGCGCGTGAAGCTATTTAGATGTTTGTTTGATCCGGAAAACTATAAACTCAATGCTGAAAAGTTGGTGGTCTCTGGCTACTTGAATCTGTCAGCTCTTTCGGTGTGCCTTGTGGCTGATATAATTTCTCTATGTCAGCAAGTCCCTGAGATCTGTCTACTTGAATTTGATTCTTACGGTGATGAATTAAACGTTTATTGTTCACCTCTTAACTCTTTCCACGGGCCATTTTTTCTGTTGCAAATGCTACTCTTTGAGGGCTGGTTGGGTTGCATGCTCAATTGTAAAGCTATGCTAGTTTCTTGTAGTTTGATATGCAGTTGTTTCAGTATGTTATTGATATCCTTAATGGGCTCCTTTGCTTCTAGGCTGTTTTTAACGAACTCTGCAAAATGCTGGATCCTGGGAAACCCTCTTTCACTCCAAAAAAAGGAAAACCAAGTGTCGTCATGTTTGTTGGATTACAAGGTTTGTTTCCTATTGAATGGCTTTGCCTTCTTCTTAATCAAATTATGCTTCTTTTTTTTTTTTTCAGTCGATTCAAATGATATTAGTATGTATAAGAACCACCTTCAAGCATGAATGTCCAATTTAATAATAGACAATTATACATATATCTAAGCCACACATGTTTTAGCTTTATTGCTTGGTCCTTATCCTTGTAAAGAAAAAAAAATTGCAATTATTATCTGATGTTTAAACATTTTAAAACAATGATTCAGGATCGGGAAAAACCACAACTTGTACAAAATATGCATATCATCATCAGAAAAAAGGCTGGAAGCCTGCTCTAGTTTGTGCAGATACATTCAGGGCAGGAGCTTTTGATCAACTGAAACAAAATGCCACTAAAGCTAAGATCCCTTTCTATGGGAGGTACTCATTTATTTGCCTTTTATTTTTTTTTATTTTTTGCAAAGGGGGAAGTTATGTTGACTCAACATTTTATTTTATTTTTTGGAAAGGGGTAACTTATGTTGACTCAACATTTAGTATGGTCATGTCATTGTTAAAAATTTATAGAGTTGTGGAGCACAACCACTCCTATATTTTTGGACGTCTCATATCTTATCTACTTATTTGTTATCTTTTACACAAGTTGATAGAGGAAGAAGAGAGATATAGACGAAAAGAGAGACTGATTTCATTCACACCCTTCATTGTACCCTAGATACTCTATTTATATAGAATATACCCAAATACCCAGATTACCCTTTTATCCCTAATTTCCCTAATTTACCCCTTTTTATTTCTAATTCCCATATTCCCATGTATCAATATATTCCCCCCTAAAAGAGGTCCTTGTCCTCAAGGATCATACAAAGATGAAAAGTTAAAACCTATATCTAATATACGACTTGTTCTGGTGCCATCTCCTCTTGAGTGTCTGCAAATATCTCTGCTCTGTTTTCAACAATCAAGGAAAATACCTGTGAATCTTGGCAAAGGTGTGCACTGCTGTATTTGTCGTCACACCAATAACACAAGCCCTTACACCTTTGATCGTCCATTTCACTCTTTGAAAGTTGTTTTGAGGGCCTAGAGCTAGAGGACACCAAATTAGAGGTGCTGAAGGATGGGTTCTGTTTGAACTTGCTAATGGGCTTGTGGTGGATATGGCCTTAGTAACTGGGTCATTAGTGGATATGGGTTTAGTAACCGGGTCAGACCTGGAACTTGATAACACTGGAGGAGGCAAACGAGAAGACCCAGATGAGTAGAACAACGAGAACCTAGAGGAAGGCTTGTGAGTTGGCAGCGCAAAAGATGGAATGTGGTCATGAATCGCTTTAATGGCAGCAAGTTGTTGTCTGGCCATTGTCATCACACTGGCCAGTGTTGTTGGTTGGAGACTAAGGATGCCCTGTTGCACGTTGCTGTGCAAACCTCCGATGAAGCAGTGCATGGCTACTGCCTTTGATAAGTTGGCTTCGGTAAGCAACTTGTCAAATTTCTCCCCATATTCTTCGACAGAGTCTTGCATCTGCAGTTTCTTTATCGCAATCATAGGGCTTTCATCTTTTATATCCCCAAATTTCCTTTCCATTTCGTGGAAGTATTCTTCCCAAGATATCTTGTCCAAATGCCTCTGTTTAGTAAAGGCTAAGTGCTAACGCAGGGCATGTTTCTCCAAGTGGATGCTAAGAAGATGAATACACTGGTCAACGGGCATTCCATCCACATCAAAAAATAGGTGATAGCGGTAAGCCCATCCTCGGAAATTAGTGCCATCAAATTTAGGGAATGCAACTTTGCTACTCTTGGTACAAACAAAGTATGAGTTAGGTGGTGTGGGAAGAAGACCTTGGAAGGACCTGAATTGAGGCAGTGGTGTGAAAATGGGGAGAGGCGGTGCTGAGGCAAAAGGGGTCGCTGGTCGAGAGAAAGGGGTGGTGGTGGTGGGATTGCTATTAGGGGCGGAGGGAAAGAGGTTGTAGGTCGAGGGAGAGTGACGGAGGGTGCTTGGGGAGGTGGTTGGAGGGTTCACCGACTTGAAGTGGAGGGGAATGCAATAGTTGATTTGCTAGCGTGTAAGCTTATCAGAAATCGCCTTCATAAACTGAGATAAGGTAGTTTTAATCCCAGATATATTGTTAGTATGTTGGTCTAGATCCTGTTGAGTACTTTGTAAGTAATGAGGATTGCATTTCCAAGCAATGTTCCAAGTCGCCAATGCGTTCAGTCAAGGGCCGCATCTCCGGTGGAGACATGGCCGGAGAGCTGGCTCTGATACGTTGATAGTTAAGAAGAGAGATATAGACAAAAAGAGAGACTGGTTTCATTTACACCCTCCATTGTACCCTGGATACTCTATTTATATAGAATATACCCAAATACCCAGATTACCATTTTATCCCTAATTTCCCTAATTACCCCTTTTTATTTCTAATTCCCATATTCCCATGTATCCCAAGTTCTTTATTCTTGATACTATGAGGTGAATAATCTCCACTAGGTTTAGCTCTTTCTTTCTGGTGATAAAATCTGAAGATATCCTTCCAGAAGAATGGTGCATGGTTGCTGGTAGGGATCAATTATTTATTTATTTATTTTAGGTCTTGTAGTTTATGATATTCTGTTGTCTCATAGTTTGGTGTATATATCTTGGTGAAAGGTTTGTTTTCAATTGTGCAATAGGCCAATGACACATGCATTTTTGAAATCTATCTAGTACCTTGCATTTTGTATTTGTGAGAAGTGAGGGTACGGGTGTGTTGTTCATGGTGCAAGATGGCCTTTAGCATTGACTGAGCCAGGGGCCTACAGCTTTGGAAGTTATCATCTAGCTTGTAAACCCTTTAATTCCTACTGCCATATTTTCATTCTTTACAAATGAGTTAGGACTTAGGATCTGCTAATCTTAATACAATTTGTTTATGGCAACCTTTAAATCAACTGTATTTCATTGCATTTGACCATAATGCTTAATTATTCAGTTTCGTGCTCCCAATTCTTCTCACAGCTACATGGAGTCAGACCCTGTGAAAATTGCTGTTGAAGGTGTGGAGAGATTCAAGAAAGAAAACTGTGATCTCATAATTGTTGATACCAGTGGACGGCACAAACAAGAAGTTGCCCTTTTTGAAGAAATGCGCCAAGTTTCAGAAGCAACGGTGTGATTTTTGTGTAATTTATGGACGCATTTTTATTGTTCCTGCTTATAAACACTGATAACTGCTTGTATCTTTTCTTTGCATTGTTCAGAAACCAGATCTTGTTATATTTGTTATGGATAGCAGCATTGGTCAGGCTGCATTTGATCAGGCCCAAGCATTTAAACAAAGTGTTGAAGTGGGAGCTGTAATTGTTACGAAAATGGATGGCCATGCAAAGGGAGGTGGTGCTCTTAGTGCGTAAGTGCCACTGGAATGACTTTGTCATATTATTCAATACCAACTGATCTCGTCAATTTTGGCAGTAGTGGAAGGAACTGTAACCATTTCATTAATGAAGGATTTGGATAAGAGTTATGAATGTTCATCTCCTTTTTCCTTCCTCCTCAAGCAATAGAGCATTAATGAATGATATATTTGTGGCTTTCATCTACAGTTTGTTCTGCACTTCATATCATGTCTGCGTGTCTTTTTTCTCTGTCCTGCATATTCTCTTGATGAAGTTCCTGGAATTGTATTATGTTTAACTTCTAGCATATGCATACCCTACTTTGCAATTTGCATTATATGCTGAAGATTTTTAAAAGATTTAAAGATTCATATCTTCATTACATAGAAGTAGGTTGAATCTACTGCAAGGCTTTCCAGTCAAAATTTTTATTAGATATTTTACATGAATATTTGTACTTCCAATTGGTGTTTTGTATTTAGATTAAATCATATATGTATATATATTGCTTTTCTGAGATATAATGAAGAATGTGTAGTGAGATGCACCAGGCTAGACGTAGTTAAGCAGTCTATAGAACAGAATTTCTGATGGAGAGTGCTGTATGAACTGCATTCCTGATATGAATTATTAGCCTTTATCTTTTGAAAACGAATGTGTATTTTAAGTTTTGTGGTTTGAATGCTTAATCCTATTAATTTTGTGGGTGCAGTGTTGCAGCAACTAAGAGTCCGGTCATATTCATTGGAACTGGAGAACATATGGATGAATTTGAAGTTTTTGATGTTAAACCTTTTGTCAGTCGTCTGTTAGGTGTGTGCTTTTTCTGGTTTTTATCTTGACTGAATTTAGGCTATACCCTACTTTATATTTCTCTTCTTTTCTGCCCTTGATATCTTAATGTTTTCTATGGATGATAAGTCATGATTGCGCAATTTCTTGAAAATATTTACTGATTGTTATGTCATAACTAATGTCTTTTTAATTAGGCATGGGTGACTGGTCTGGATTTATGGACAAGATTCATGAAGTTGTTCCTATGGATCAACAGCCTGAACTGCTTCAAAAGCTGTCAGAAGGGAACTTCACCTTGAGGATTATGTATGAGCAGTTTCAGAACATACTTAAAATGGGTCCAATCAGCCAGGTTATTGCCTCCTTTTGTTCATTTTATTTTATCTGATGGTGCTACTGCGACGCAGATTAGTAACGAGTGTTTGGTTCCCTTGTATTAAGAGATTTGGTTCATTCATGTAGGTGTTCTCAATGCTTCCAGGATTTAGTGCTGAATTGATGCCAAAAGGCCGTGAAAAGGAAAGCCAAGCCAAAATTAAGCGGTACATGACAATGATGGATTCAATGACAGACGAAGGTAATCAGCAGTATGAATTAATAATTTTTGAACTTCAGCCTCATAATTACAAATCAACTTTAATATAATTGGAATTCACCCTCATTGAAACTATGCACTTTTCCCATTAACTTTTGATAAATTGCAGAGTTAGATAGTTCAAACCCAAAGCTGATGAATGAGTCGCGCATGATGCGAATAGCTCGAGGATCTGGTCGTCATGTTAGGGAAGTAATGGAGATGATGGAGGAGTACAAACGTCTTGCAAAGATTTGGAGCAAAATGAAAGGGCTTAAAATACCAAAGAAGGGAGATATGAGTGCTCTATCCCGAAACATGAATGCCCAGCACATGAGCAAAGTCCTACCTCCACAGATGCTAAAGCAAATAGGGGGCATGGGTGGGTTACAGAATTTGATGAAGCAGATGGGTTCTTCTAAAGAGATGATGGGAATGCTTGGTGGTATGGATAAGTAGGTTGAAGGTGATTATGAGCTGAGGTATGTCACTGGCTGCAACTATACATCATGATGCCTAAGAGCGAGGCACATCGTTGCGCATGTTAGTGCAGCTACATTTTGGCCAAAACAAGTGCAGTTACATTGATTGACCTTGGATTTATTGGAAATATTGTCTACCAGTCTGCAGAAAGGTATCCTGAATGGAGAGAGAAGTTTCTTGCTGTAAAATTATAATTATTTTTCTTTTTCTTGTACATTTAAGATGTGATCGAAATATCCCTGTTAAAGCAAATACTGCTGTAGCCATAATTTGTTTTTAAACTGGAGAAGAAAATGCTGAGTTGCTTCTCTCAATGGTGAGATTGCAAACTAGTCAGAGATATTTAATTAGGAGAATGATGATTTAGGATATTGTGAGAAAATTAACACAAAATAAGGATTTTCAAGTTGGAAATGTTGAAATTTGAGTCGTAAAATTTTGAAGTCTTAAATTTTATAGTTGTAAACAAGTCCTTATTTCGTATTCATTTTCTAACAAGGTTGTTAATTATCATTATCATTCTCCTTATTTGGTGTTGTGTTGCGAGTACTTTTTTTGGGGGGCCAATATCCATGGTAACGAGATTATGCGCCTCATATTTTATATCAAGTCTATGACAAATCCAATGTTAATGGTTTATAAGTAATGACATACTGTAAGTATGAATTAGCTTCAGCCTCTCCCAACTGAGACATGTAAAGCGCATAATCTAGATTAAAAAAGATGTCGCAGCAGTGAAGAATGGCTTTATGGTTGCGACTAAAGTTTTCATTTATTCTGGAATTTACACAAGGGATGGCCAAAATAAAGAAAAAATTATACAAGGGACTGTGGGAAATAAAAAATATAACAGAGAATTGACCAACTAATTTGCAAGCATACATGTAGAATCAACTGTGTTATTTTTCTAAGAACTGGCTTAAAACAGTTTTTCTCAAATTAATTTCCTCTTCCTCATCATCCTCCTCCTCCTCCTCCTCGTCAGATTTAGCAGTCGCATTCAGAGCTAGACGAAGTACCGAATTGATCTGCTTCCTTAAACTGGCATTGTCTACAAACATGTGTGCCAGAAGCCTCCTCAGCTCATCGTCAGTTGTCACTGTATCACCTGAAGTTGTACTGCGAGTCTCATCTACAGCACCAGCAGCATTTTCTACATCTTGTGCCAAGAGTTGCGCCTGTTCACATTTTGTAAATATGCACATGAAAAACAGCAAGTGGACGGCAAAAAGAAACCACTGAGAAGGTAAGTAACAAAAAAATTGATGATCGCTCCATTGACAGTAGAGTCAACAACATGGATCGCATGAGTCAACCACGCTCAAATTTTTCACTAAAATACATTCAACAAAATGGGTAGATTACAAAAAAACAAAAATCTGAGTATCATAATGATGCCAAAAGCAGAATCTAAATTGTACATTTTGGTGTATGGTTTTATGCTGTAAGGCAGCCATTGTGTTAATTTTGCCTCATCCATCACTTCTCATAGCAAGGTAAAACAGATGCAAATGAAAGTGGTAACTGGGGAAAGAAAGTATTGTGAATAGTGCAAGGAGTATGGAAAGTACAAAATACAAGAAATGAAAGCTTTCAAAAAATAAAAACTTTGTGAACGCAACTTGGGAAAATCATGAAGCACCATTAACAAGTGAACCAAATAGGTATTAGTTAAGGTCAATATAATACATATGAATTGAATTATCAATTCTATGAATTAATATTAGAAATGAGACAATTCCAAGGCAACAACTGAAGGGGACCTCTATCAACTTTAAGTCTTCCAGCAGAGGGACTGGAGTCGGAGTATACAAATTTCTCACCCTGATATATGTAAGGAGGGTGTCCGAGGTAAACTCCATTTGGTCTACCCCTTTAATTAATGTCTTGGAGTAGGAGAGTAAGACAGAAGGGAGAAGGATCCACGGAATATAGGTTACCCAGTCACACTAATTATTAAGAAATTTGGAAAATCACTGCGGCATGAATCTAGGGAGGAAAGAAAAAAAAGGAACAAGCTAGCCATGGTCTTTAGAAACAAGTTCTTGCACCATTGCATGGTTGGATCCTAATAAAACAAAGGTTCACCAAATCAGGCGGGACTAAAGAGTTCTTACACACCACCTAGACTAGGCCATTAAAAAAGCATACTGTATAAAAAGCCAATTAGAAAAAAAAAATGACAAAAAATAAGTGTAGGTATAAAAACTCCAAACTTAAGTACACCAGAACGGCATTTCTAAGGACAAAAATGACTCAAGATGAAGAGCACACCTCAGCGAGTAGGAGACCAATTCGATTATCTGACATTGCTAATAAATCCAAAGCATCAGACGGAGAAGTATCAACAATTAGTTTATCTTCCTCCTCAACAAGAAAGTTAACACTGCACTCTTGAAGCCTCTTTTGAAGAATTCCACACTCACGCAGCAACTTTGCATTGGCTTCATATGAAAGTTTCAATCTTTGCTTTTCTTTATGGAGACTTCTCTGAATTAGAAGTAAAACAACAGCACGAAATTAACTGGATTTAGCAACACACCAATGGAAGAAAGTCCAAAATGTTAAAGCCATTTCTTTTTATTAAAAAAAAAAAAAAGTCAAGAGAAAGAGGAATGTTAAATCTTTATCTGAACGGTACTTGTAAATCAGAGGAACTAGTTAGAAGAGGATAACTACATCACTCTGTCTCTTCTCTCATGTCTTGCTCTTTCTAGATGCCCATGTACAAGCAGACCCACGGACCCAGTGAAGTTGATAATTTCTCAGACAAGAAAATGCGTGAATTGATACTGCAGTAGTTAGTTACAACGTACAATAACTAGAAAGAAGCCATACCTCAGCCTCTAGTTTTTCCTTCACCAATTCGCTGAGTTGCTGCTTCAATTCTGACTGAGAACTTCTAAGGGATTTGACCTCCTTTATTAGCACCTTCACATCTGCCTTTGATTTCATCTCAAGCTCATCATGACACTTCTGCAAGTTCTCAAGTTGTTCTCTTGCAAAATCAAGCTCTTGCTGCAATATTTCATTTTCTTTAACGACAGATGCTTTCACTGACTCCACTTGCAGTCTTTCATCCTAAATTATTAGATTTGTTCAATAAAGGGCCTCCAAAACAGTATGATAAGAGATGTTAATGAAGATTAGTAATCCAAACAACACCTCTTCAGACTTCCATTTGATTTCCATATCCAGGCACTTCCTCCTAAGTTCCTCAATATCCCACTGCATTTGTGTAAACCTTTCCCTTTCAGCTAGAACAGCCTGGTGCATATTCTCTCTACAGTTCAGTTGAGTTGTTTCAAGTTCAACTTCCAAATCTTTAACCTATGATACAAATGAATAGATAATTAACTTACAAATATATGAAGTCCAACAAAGTTCCAGAATTTCTATCTAGCATTTCAACATTGAGATGGCCATCATTTCCATGTACTTAAACATAAATTAGCAAACAATTGGTTCAGTCACCATACACCAATAACAGTAATGCAATCGCACAAGTCATAAGCATATTCCATCTTTGTTTTGTCAGCCATCCTCTTCCAAATAATGCTACTCAATCCATAAGAACATAAGCATGCTTGATGGTAGATAAGGATGCATAAAGAAATACAGAGCATGAGCATGATACCTTCAAATTCAACACTAAAATACTATCACCATCTAAATTCCAAGCATTTATCCAATATTAATTATGCAAGATAAAAGAAAAAGAACTTCACCACATTATAATGATTTTACTCAGAAATGGGGAAAGGCAGAGCTGGCCAGGGTCTCAGGAAAATACTGGCTGATTGATAAATCATTTAAATTTAGCTGGAATTTAAACCAGGGTAGTGGCCTTCCATTTTGGATATCCTAAAGACAATATTCTGGACGGTTCACTACGTAATACTCAATCAAATGAAAGTTCTACCAATTTTACTTACTCATAGTATGGACAGTTCTAAAAGCTTGTTGTAGTTCAGTAGACAAGACACTTTTTCAATGTAATTTATACCCCTGAAAAATTCACCAAAGTATTAACAAGTTGTAAACTGACTCCATGATAGCAATGTCTTAAGATATGATAAACACATACAGAATAAAATCAATAGAATGGCATTGATTTTAAGTCTAGAAACAACATCTTCCAAGGCATAATATTGGTGCAAGTTGTGAAGAACTAATCCTATTTTATGACGTGCATTTAGATACCTTTGTTATGAGAAATTGTCTAGCAGCCATTTCTTGATTTAATCTTGCTAAAAGATCTTCCACATCTGTTTTTGCTGTTGTCAGTCTCTGCTGCAGGGTAACAAGAATTCTGTTTAACTTGTGTCGCCCCTCAGATGGAAGAGTCACCAACAAATCCATGCTTAGATTTGATATTTCACTATTCCTTATAGAACTTAAGTCACTTCCAATGCTGTCTGTTGACAATCTCTTAACATGGCCATCCATCTTATCTTGTAGTTTGGGAACAAATTCAGTTCCATCTAAGCGGAGAACTTTAATATCAGTAGCTTTCTCAGTGACTTTGTCTATAGCACTATTGTCAGTTTGCATGTTATCCAGGGAAAATTTTGACGCATCCTCCTTAATAAATTCTTTGTTGGATTCAGCACGCCCAATAGTTGTTCTTGCTGAATTAATCAAGTCATGTTCTGCTATTGAATTGTCCAGATCAGAATACCCATCTTTTCCATGCCTTGGTGTTCCAAGCTCAGATACTTCATAAGAAGTATCATTGCCAGAATCTGATGCAACAGATGCAGAACCATGTGGATCGTCTTGGAGAACATATGATGTAGTACCATTAACTGAAGTTCCACCTGACATCTGCTGTGAATTATGGAATGCTGGAAAAAACAGCAACGTAGAGGTCTTAATATGTTTGTGCAACATTATGGAATATATTTTATTTCATTCTTCTCAACAATGGAGGAGTGTGTTTTTTGCTTAAAAAACTAAGGAGTATCTTAGAGGTTTACAATAGATGATGGAAATTTCTGTCAGGCACACATGGTGCATCATTCAGCTGGTAAACTGGAACAGCGTGGAGCACGTGTACCTAAGAATAAGAATATACCTGATCGAGCAGCAGCTTCCAGTTCAAGGAATATTGCTGCCGGAGCACTTCGCGATACATCAATATCTGATAACAGTTTTTCCATCCAATCCTCTAACAAACACCTTCGCTGAAAGTAACAAATGCAATCATTTAAAAATAAAAAGTACGGGCTAAACAAAATTCAAGTTTAATAAGATTCACGGACCAGTTACTACTGTTGTATTACATGGTAGACAAGTGGAAGAATTTGAGTAAGTGATCTACCTCTTCCAACACTTTCTGGCTTTTAACTTTCAATAACTTCTTTGGTGGAGCCGGGGGCAAATTTTTCACAGCAAATTCTTTTTTCAACTGGAAAAAAGTGAAAATAATACTTCCTTGTCATTATATAAATGAAATGTACTGCAGAAAAAAAAAATTATTCAAATGCATTGAAAACAACAATTACATCTGAAAACAGCTTCAGAAAATCATTAAATCGGCGAAAGATAACTCGTGTAGTGGTGATTCCTTCAGGGGATTGTATGCCAACTTGAACCCTGTAAAACTGTTACTTTCAAATGTTAAAGCAGAAATGATGGCCAAAAAATTGTTAAAGCATATAATGACTTAACAAACAAACAAACAAACAACAACAAGCCTTTATCCCACAAGGTGGGGTCGGCTACATGGATTGCAAGACGCCATTGTGCTCTATCATTTATTATATAATGACTTAAGGAGAAGAATTTTATACAAGGTTAAATAAATATGGGAAGAGGCTTAATGCAGAATGACTAGAAGTCTGAAACAATTCACCAGCCTCCTAATAGAATACAATAAGACCTCACACAACACAACTGCATTATATTTAGGGAGAATGACATTTAAGGCCCTCTCAAAGGAATTTACCGCCATAAGGACCCATAATTTTTGCATTGGATATTGTCTTGTGAAATATACATATGTTGTTGTTAAAAGCTGAACTTTGTTAAATTTTTAAGAAAATCCTAGCAAAAAACACAAGTTAAGATTCATCCTTTAACAACAATATATGCATGTTTTTATAAGACAATATCTGATGCAAAACATATACACCCTTATTACGATAAATTTCCTAGAGAGGGTCTTAAATGTCATTCTCCCTTATATTTATATATGTATAAAAAGGGAAACAAAGTTCTTCCTGTATTTCAGAAGACTAAAAATAGATTCTAGATTCGAGTAGAGGGAAAAAAAAAAAAAAAAGCAATTTCCACAAAACAAAAATTGCAGTGTGAGAATGTAACATTGTTAGGAGAAAACATAGCATATGACAACAATCATTATAGCAAGTGCGTCTCATTCCACTTGAATTTGGGGGGGGGGGGGGGTAGGTTTTCTGTCTCGTTACTCTATAGAAAGGGGAAAACGAAAAAGAAACTTTTTCCTTGAACATATTAGCCTTCTGCCATAGAAGTAAGAAAAGAAAAACACAGTTTACAGAAAGTGTAGAGGAAATGAACCCAAACATTGAACCTGCCGTATGTTTGAATATTCGATTTCAGCTATCCTTTTCCTTTAGTTTTCTTAAAAGGGAAAAAGCACTTACTACAACGGAATCAGAACCTCTTGATTCCGGCTGGACAACCCACGAAGGAACTGTCACGCAATAACTCCAACCCCCGTGAGGATCATTAGGCCAAACAGAATTACGTCCATCCTAATGGCAAAAATCTAAGTCAATGGTTGGCAAAAGCAAACTCACAACTTATTAATGAAAATTCAAACTATAAAAGCTTCAAAGTTCCAACCAAAAGAAACCACTATCTATATCTTGAGTTCACCGTAAACATTAACAATTTACTCAAAAATCGATCAAGTAGAAGATAAAGTACCCATTTTCGAGGAGGAAGACTCCAATCCATTCCCAAAGGCAGAGGCGACGTGCCATCATGGCGATGCTTGGGCGGACTTGGATGTTGTACCTCCGGCTTTTTCTCATCAGAATCGTTCCTTCCATCACCGGGAACATCATAATCATCATCAATATCATACAATGAAGTCGAAGAGCTTGTCAAATAAGAGCGACGATATGCATAGGGGTTGAAAATCGGATCCGAATAACTGAAATTAAAGTCGAGTACAGAAAGGTCGTCCGCGTAAAGATTCATCTCCGAATTTCTTCGTGTTCGATCTTTGGTTTTTGAATGGACAGGTTGCTAAGATGAGCTATAGCTCAAGCTTGAAGACGAGATGCAACATCAAATTGCAGAAAAATACCATAAATTCTCTTGCATTACGATCCTTTGCCGCAAGTAGCAGAAGGCCAAGACAAGTTTGGCCGTATCTATTTTTTTTTTTCTCCTTAGCTTAATTAATTAAAACTTTAAAACTCCTGCACGAGGAAGTATATGAGTTTATCTTTTTTTTTTTAACATATTAATTTGACTAAAATATATAAAATTTTATTAAACTTTTAAAACAGTTATATATAATTTCATCACCTTTTAATATTTAAAATTAATTTTTTAATTTTTAATTTTTTTAAAAAATCCCTTATCATTATTTAGTTTTTATTTTATTAATATAATTATTATCATGTAATATTATAGCAATACATATTACACATGATATGAAAAAGATATTTTTTTATTTTTAATATAATTTAAGGAGAAATAAAAGCATAATTTCTACTTTTAACACCTATGATGATGCTTTTATTTTTTTTCGTTGAGCAATTTTATTTTCATTGTTTATAGGAGAAAAATTATAATTTTATTATTTTTTGTCAATTAAAATAGTTTTTATATTAAATAAATGAAAAAAAATATAAAAGATGTGTTGACAGAACTCCTATAAATTTTGTTATATACTTTGTTCATTTTTGTTTATACTCTTATTTGTTTATGGCGGACTAACGGTTATTTTTCCTTTAAATAAAATTTTCAGTACTTATTCAAATCAAACAAATTTGTTACTGGTACAGTAAAAATGGAGTATGTGCAGCTTTAGAATAAGATATATTTTTAGTTATTAGTGTTTTGTATCAATTTTGTTAATATTATAGTTTTCTTGTATTAAAGGATAAATTTTTATTTATATGATTCTTATTAATAATAATTTTTAGATATTTTTCTTTTCATTTGTATAGTATAAAAGGCTATTTTAATTAATAAAAAATAATAAACTCATAATTTTCTATTAAATTATGTTGTTTGTGAATAATGAGAACAATATCGCTAAATGAAAATAATAATAGTATTGTTAGTGTGTTAAAAGTAAAAATTATATTTTTGTCCCTCATTAAATTGTGTTAAAAATAATGAAAATATTTTTTTCATATCATGTGCCATGTGTATTGCATTAATCTAATATGACAATAATTATATTAATAAAATAATAGTTAATTAATGATAGGAGGTTTTGAAAAATAAAATTAAAGGTTATGAAGGTTAATTTTAAATATTTAAAGGTGAGAGGAGTAATATACAATTATTTTAAAATTCAGAAAAGTTTTATATATTTTAACCTATTAGTTTATCTATCTAGGCATAATCCTTCATTCACCTACCAAAAATAAAAAAACAAAAACAAAAACTTCATTTACCACGTTTAAAAAAGTGTGAGTTTTTTTGTTACTACAATGTCATGGGCAACTAATTACAATTTTTACATCCAGAGGATGGTTCATAAAAAATTTTAAAGCTTGTTTGACAACATATTCTAAAAAAAAGTTTTTTAATAAAAAAATCTGTTTTGTAACATGTGTTTTAGAAAGTGTTTTGGAGAATAAAAATAAAATAAAATATTGTTATGAAAAATAAAAAATCAATGCAATAGAGACATATTTTTCCAAAAAAAAAAACAAGAAGAAGAAGATTTGTATTATATGATTAAGAGCAGTGGCTAACAATCTTTTTGGGTGGCTAAAAGGTTTAGAGTCAAACCCCCTCTTTTTTTGGTTGAAAGGAAGTCCCTTACATTAAACAGACGCAATGTACAATGGTGAACAAATTACAAGGTAAAAAAAAAAAACAAAACCCAGTAAAAAGTAAAGGGAAAAACTAGTTCTAATCAGCAAAATCAAAAATAATTGTAGCATTAGACGAGTTGCAATCTCCACTAGCATTCGAGGTCGGAATGGTAGGCAAAGGAAGTAATGGTTCATGCACCCACCCTATTTGGTACACATCCTTAAAAGCAATAGCTGCAAGTAGGGGTATTCAGTTTGGACCCATTCCGATTGGCCCAATATCATCCCAATTATCTCGAGACGGATCTTGTCTCGGCTAGAAAATAATTGAAACGGGACTTTACGGGACGAGATAGGAAAGGGTTCGGGACGGAACGAAACATGTGATTACCATTGAGACGTCCCGTCCTGTCTCGAATATTATATATATATATTTTATTTTACGTATATTAATTATATTAATATAATTTATACTTATATTAATTATACAATTATAATTTCCATACTTACAATTCTTATTTAAAACTAAAGTTTTTTTATATTGATAATTTTAATGACATTGAGTAAACACAGTGATATCTTTCTTTATAATATATTAATTATATTAATACAATTTATTATTATATCTATCTATTTAATAACTTTTATTTATAACGTATTTCTTGCTTTATTTTCAAAAGAATAATTAGCTTAGTACAACTCCACTAAAATAGAAGAACAATGATTTGATGTTGTGCTTGACTTGCCTATTGTTATTACTCTTATAGCCTAAAGATCACTTGTATTTGATATTATAATGTGTAGTAGTGATTAATGTAATTCAATAATTGACTTTAAATTGTTGTGATTTATGTACTTGTGTTGTTTTGATGTTAAACTTAATAAATTATATGATTTAAAATTTTAATAAATGTTATTATTTAGATATTTCTTCAATATTATCTGATTTTATCGAGACAGCGGGATGTCCCGATTTTGTCCCGATCCTATCCTGACTCCTAACAGGACGGGATAACTTTCGAAAGGGACGGGACAGGACACAAGACCAAAATTCAGTCCCAATCTTTTTTACAAGAAGGACTCGGGACAGGAGTGTCCTGGTCCCGTCCCGTGAACACCTCTAGTTACAAGTAGATTAGCTGCTTGATTACTTTGACAAGGAGTAAAGTAAAGAGAAAACCCAACCATGGAGACAAGAGCTACAATACACTCATAAATGTTGCTTCTGCATCCCCAATCATGCATATCAGGCTGAATAAGAGAGATATAATTGACAAGCAGTAAACAATCATATTCAAATATAACCCTATCATGTCCCATATCCATAGCTAACATCAACACTCATTTTAAAGCCAAAGCTTTGGTCATGAAAGCAAAAAGTGACTTTATTTTATTTACAAAACCCCATTTAAATAAACCATCAGAGTCCTTACAAAACAATTCTAATAGTAGTGTGTTCTGATTTCTCATCAAAAGCAACATCTATATTTATCTTAAGAATACTTACAAGAAGGGTCTTCTATCATTCAACAATAGTAGGTTTAAGAGAGGAAGTGTTACAAGTTGATACAGAGCATACAATCCAGAATTCTTAGTGTGAAAATTTAGCAAGCTTAGGGACCCGCTTAGGAGCTAAATCTATTCTCTTAAAAGCTTTAGCATTTCCACTCTTCTAGATGTGCTAAAGAATTCAACAATTAAAGGGCTAATTGGCAATTTGAACCATAAATATAGGCCCAATGGTGATTTAAATCCTAAATTCATATTTGGTACATTTTGAACCTAAACAATCAAATATGAGATAATTTTGCCTCTATCGTTAATTTAAAACTAACTCTGTTACTTTTATTCAAAATGAGGCCCACATTTTCTTTGTCATATTCTCTCTTTGCCCAAGACATTACTTCTCTTCTCTTTGCCATGACATTATAAATATATGACCATAAAAAGACAAAGAATTAAAGAACCATACACTATATACCATTCTTGTTCCTTATCATCACCTTCTTCAACCTTCAACTTTTACATTCTCTCCCTAATAAGATGTAAAACTCTCTTTAGTGTCCACATGCACAAGCTTCAACCTCAATTACATGCACACTCACACATGTACTCTTTACTTATCTAGGTGTCTAAAACTTTCTTCAAATTCATACCTCCATCCTTACTCGATGATGATCTTTACAAATGTAATTCTCAAATTTCTTATCTATTTTTGAAACAAAACTCGTCAAGCTGCATGATGCTCTAACCTAAATGTCGTCCATGCATTAAAACCATACCTTAAGCTCCTTTACCTTCTTCTTCTATAAATACCCAATGGATCTCCTCTCAATTCAACCAGCATTCATTGTTCTTTGATTTGTGATCATCAATCATGGATTTTATCAAAGTAAGCTTCCTTTTCTCTTGTTTCTAGGTTATGTTTACCTTATAGTTGCCTTTGTTGGCCATGCTTGCTTAGATGAATAGAATTTCAACTACCAAGTCTATGTCAAAAGCTATGCCTTCCAAAACAGTCTCACATGCTAAGCTCGTTGCAAGCTGAAGAACAATGCTAAGGAAAAGAAAAAACGAATGAAACATGACCCCCATCATTCTGACTCTCGTTGTCATCAATGGCAACTAGAGGAGAAGGAAGAAAAAGGATGCTAGGAGGTGGAAAAGGTTGATCAAAAGACTCACTATTGCTATCAACTCATTTAGATAATCAAATGCAAACAATAGCGACGATGAAGACAATGATGATGACGACGACAATCATAATAAAAGTGATATTGAAACAAAGGGTTTGATAAAAGAGAGATGGAGAGAAAGAGGGGAGGAGATTACTAGAAATGCAGAGAGAGAAGGTGGCAAAGAAAATGTGAACCTCATTTTGCATAAAGTAACATACATTAAATTCAAATTAATGGTGAAGGTTAACTTGTCCTATATTTAATTGTTCAGAATTTAAAATATATCAAATACGAGTTCAAGGTTTAAATTGCCACTAACTTTATAATTTAAGATTCAAATTACCATTTAACCTAATAAATAAATGCTATATCAAAATCAGTAAAGTCATTTTTAAAGTCCACAACAAAGTTCCACCACATTTTAAAGCTATACTCATTAAAGTCATCAAATCTGATTCTTAAAATGCATCCAAACTAGATTGGTCTAACCCAGCTACAAAGAAGGAATAAATGTTCAATGGCTTTTGGGTTAAGGTCGCAAACAAGATATGCCTTTTCTCATGACCTTCTATGAGAGTAAGCATTTATAGTCATTACATTTGATAACACTCTCCAAATAAAATATTGAACTCTTGGTGCACATTTACTCCAAATACTTCATCAAACATATGCCATGATACTCTAAGAAGGACCTAACTTAGAAGAAGACTTGATAAGCTGATTCTTGTCCACTTTATAGGCAAGTTTAACTTGACACACTCTATTTTTTACTTCTGCCCAAACTAACTTGTTAGGTATTCCACAATTAGGTAATGGAATATTCATAATAGCATTCGTAATGTTCTATGGAAGAAGTTCTAGGATAGGAGAAAGATCTCACTTGCTATTCATAATAAGATCATTAATTTTTCCATGCTGCATAATGAACGATTGGTTCCCTTGTGGTTTCCTAAGGAAAGTGACATTTGACACCCAATTATCACTTAGATCCACAATACTAGACTAGCACCAAAAGGCTTTATACCTTTTTTTCGCATCAATAAACTCGCCTTTAAGGAAATAAATACTAATGGTAACATGAGCTATAGTTCATTTGGCTTTTAGATCAATCTCCAAGCTGTCTTAACAAGAAGAGCATCATTCATCATTTCAAATTTTCTAAATCCCATACCATCAGTCATTTTGGATTTGGTTTAAAAAAAAACCCAAGATTTCTAATGTATACCTCCCTTGCCAACATCACCTTCCCACTAGAAATTTGAGATAGTGTTGTTGATCTCCTTACACGTCTTTAATAGAACTTGAAACAATGCATTGGGTAAATAGGAATAGCACTAAGTACTGATTCAATCATCACTTTGCATCCTACGTAAGAAAGCATGGCCCTACTCTATCCTTATATTTTACACCGAACTCTTTCTTTTATGTAACCTATCGCTTGATATTTGGTTTTACCCTAAATGTTAGAAATGACAAGGTATCTCCAAAGTCTTCCAACCAAGAATTTGGCAAACATTGTTCCTTACCCATACTAATGTACTATTAAGAAGAAAATGCTGGACTTATTGAAATTTGCCATCTAACTAGAGGTTATACAGTATCATTTAGAATTCTAGCAAGAGCAGGACAATTACTCTCCTCAGCATTCATGAAGAATAGAACATTGTTCGCAAAGAAGTTGTGGGTTAGAATAGGGTAAGAATTGCTAAGTTTGATCCCCTTAATAAGCTTGACATGATGGCTTTTATTCACCATACAAGAGAGGACTTCTGCTACCAGGATAAGTAAATAAAGTGATAATGGTTCTCCCTGCCTAAGACCTCTGCCTGGAGTAAAGGATGCTACCTTTTCTATAACATAAACATTAAGACCTATAAAGCCTAAATAATGCATGATATGATTAACTCATATGAGTGAAAAGCCAAACTTTAAAAGAACTAGCTCCAACAAATCCTATTTTGTTCTATCATAAGTTTTACTCATATCCATTTTCAAATTAAATTAATACTTAGCCCTTTTTTTCTTCCTCCTTAAATAGTGATAAACTGCATGATGATTTTATCATGAATAAATCATCCAAGTACAGATATCCCTTAGTTAGGAGAAATACAAGAATCAAGCAAGGATCTCATAATGGTTAGCACTAATTTTAAATACAATTTCATAAGAAAAATTGTAGAGGCCAATAGGCCAAAATTGAGACAGATGTTCAAGTTTATCAATCTTGGGCAACAAAATAATATTAGTTTAATTAATTTGTCATCTTTGTCAAAACTCTAGCAATAGCTAGTGGTTTTTGTTTGCTAATTATAGTGGGGAGAATTTTTTTTACAAAAATAAAGGTTAGTTTTATCCTTTCACATTAAATTTTAATTATATTTTGATCTTTTAGTTTTGCAGAGTGATTTCAAAATCTTTAGTATTTTTTTGTGAATAACACACAATAAAAGGTCCTTGATTATGATTTTCCCAAAAAAAAATGTTATGCACTTGTGCCTCATGATTCTACCTGTTAACATAAATTTGAACATATGAATTTTCACATCTATGCCTCCAATTAAGGGGGAAAGTTTAAAAGATATCAAAATTGCAAAATTATTGTATTTTCCGTATGTGCAAAATACTTGTTTTTTAGAATTAATGGATAAAATTGCACCATAACATAATTTAGGATGCTTGCAACTGTTTGAAAAATACTTTTTGAATATCTTTATCCTCAAACCCTAATTTTTTATTTGTAGTTCCCTATACTATTTATTTGAAAAGATATCAAAATATATGGAAGAGTAATTAATATTTTATAAAAATAATTGTAATCCATTTAAAAGACTTCAAATTTCAATTATAATCAAATTAGATATTTCAAAAATAAAAATTTAAAAGAGTCTTTATTTAATAATAGACCTGTATAAAATAAAATATAATAATAAAAAACTAAAGATAAGATTTGATAAAATTTCAACATAATTTATTATTTATTTGATATTTTATACGATAATGTAATGAAAAAGATAAGAAATTTTATTTTTAAAATTTTAAATATAAATGTAAAGTGGGAAAGAATTAATCTTTCTAATCTTATTTATGCTTGTATCTGCTTTTTTTCAATTTTTTTCGGATCATTATTTCCATATCCCTTTTCCTCTTATAATGCAATGCATACTTTTTGAACCCTCAATTTGGCTCGTTCAGTTCGCAGTTCCCACACAGCCGCTCGTGAAACGTCAATCGTAGTTCTGTTCTTTTGCCGCATCTCTCTTTCTCTCTGACTCCTTCGGCGCTCTCTACTAAACCACTCTCACTATACTCCGTGTCGCAGTCGCCACTCTTAGCATGTGGTCTTAGAATTGCGGCTTCCTAAGGTTTTATCTCTCTCCCGGCTTAGTGCCATTCTGTAATACTCATACAGACCGTATTTTTCTCTCTCTTCGACCAATAAATGCACTGGTACTGGTCTTGTCAATTCCTTTGGCTATGCTTTGGTGTGCCTGATTTTCTTTGACAGATTCTTGTTCCGCTCTTTTGGAAGCCCTTGGACTGTTTACTAATAGTATTTGGAAAGTTTAAAACTTTTGCCAACCGGTGATGATTGACCTAAGATAGATGAATATTACAGCCTTATGAAACTCGATGTTTACACATTGCAATCGGTAGTTCTTTATTATTAAAACTTGTAATATGGGTATTATTGGCGATTGCATTCTAGAAATAATCACAATTAACAAAATATAATCATTATAAACTTTGACTTTAGCACAAAAGGCAAAACTATGCCCGTACCCTGGGGGGCGGTGTGTGAAGTGTGATGGGGTTTTACAAATACAATTATATTGATGCAATACAGGTATGGTAATGGTGTAGACATGGCTACAGAATGGAGCATTGATGCTTAATATTTTTTTGTTTTGTGCTGTGGATTTAACTCGGAGTTTTTTTCCTGGGGTCTTAAATTACATTGTCTGATATGATATCTAATTACAGATTGATTGTAATGCTAGATTCATCAATCTAGCACTCCAAAAAAAGATAAACATAGTTGTCTTTCCTTCTGGAAGTATGCTCTCCCTTGTGGTGTCCTTTTTTGATATTTTGAATGGGGAGAATGTGATTGTAGAATCTTGTATTTTTCCTTGGAGTGGCCATGTAAGCTGCTTTTGAAGGAAAACTAGAATTTAGTGACTAGTAAGAAGATGAAGATTATGAAGATCTTTAATTTTTCGATTTTCCAAGTATGAAGATGAGCAAAGGGTTTTTCAGAGTAGTACTTGGGTCAGTGATGGGAAGTCTATTAAGTAGGACAGGATCTTGAGAATGCGCAATGTTTATGCTTTGTTGTCGGGGAGATTACTGTTCTAGAAAATTGGTTGTTTGGTGGACACATATTATGTAGTTTACCCAAGCACAGGTTATTGTGGAGTTACAGTGACCATTGGTCGAAGGCTATGGCATTGTTCATGGCATTTTGTGTTTTAAGGATGTTGCTAGCCATTGTTTATTTTCTTGGTCTCAAGGAAATGAAAAAAAGCAGCAAATCTGCATGGCTTCAAAGAGGATGGGCTCACAAGGCTGGTTTTAGCACCAATTCCGCTTTTCAATGTTGTTTGCAAGAACATCTATTTTTATGATTGTAACACTAGAGAAATAGGGATGGAGTTGCTTAGTAATTTTTTGTTCTGTCATGCATATTCTTATATCTTGGTTTTTTTGTGGGCATGTTAGGTTTTTTTATGTTGTCTGATATTAGTTTTATCCTATGACATTTAGTGGGATGTCTTTGTTGGTGATCTATGTTTGTCATCTTCTGTTTAATGAAATCTTATGGCTGATGGCCAAAAAAGATTATGGATCAATTGCTTGGCTCATTTATGTCTAGCTAAATTCAAGTATTAACTGCCATTTTTGAATTGAACATAATAGTTGTTTTTCGTTTTCTTAAATATACTATGATCCTAAAATATTGAGATTACTTTGTGAAGAATTATCTTTGGCATTCAAAAGTTAAAAACAACATCTTATTTGACAATGTCATATGGCATTATGTAAGAGAACTATGATTCTTTTTATAAAATTGTGTTTGAATGAAACTGCATTGTGCTCAGTTTTGGACTTCATTTGCATTGCAAATCACTTACTAGAGGGTTTAAACTGCTTCTTCGTGAAATTTTTTTGATTCTCTGGCTAAGGTTGATTAGGATCTATGGATTCAATTATTAGGTTTAAGTTGATTTTAATCTAAGGGCATGGGAATTTGTTTTGAGATAAAAGGTTCACTTCAATAAGAATTTAGAACTTGTCCCTTACTGAACTCCTCTTTGCCATTTGGTAGAAGCTATATATAATGGTATTACCAAGTGCTTTTTCTTTTTGCAATTATTGTTGTTAAGTTACATATTTCATTCTGAATAAAGTTTCTTTTCTATGAAAAATAGATATAATTGTTTTCCTAAGCGCGACAAGATTGTTGAATTGTTTCTAATGCTTATGTTTGCCATCATATTTTTGATTGTTCTAATGAAATTTGTTGTTTTCCATATGATATATTTTGAGCACTTAGAATTTGAATCTAATTGAATTGATGTGATGTCATTATGTGTCAGTAGCATGTGTTGTCATGTTGATGATAAGATTCAATAGTCATAGGCATATAATTCTGATTCAACCAATAATTTGCTTTTGGGTGCCTGGAGTTAATGGAAAGATGTCATTATTTTTATTATCTTTTCTTTTCCTCTAAAAATATGATAAGACATCATGATTTTTATCATCTTTGAAACTGAGTGCTCTCATGATAGTATAGAGGACCAGGTTCTTTGTTTTGTATCAATTTTTCCTTGTTCATTATATGATTCTTTGCGGCTGAAGTTTGATAGGTTCAAAATTCTCTCTCTCTCTCTCTCTTTCTCATGCACACATACACACACATTTTGATAGGTTCATTATTGGCCTGCTTCGCTAATTCATGCTGTTCTAATGTTCATTTCTTTCTGCTTTCAAGGATTATACCTGCTGTGATGGAGATTGAAACACGTGTTACCACTATCAATAGCAATGAGCAATCTGACCCTGAAACACTGCCCAGCAAGTGTAGGAGAAAGAAGTCTATTGTGTGGGAACACTTCACAGTAAAAGCTGTTGGAGATGGCATTACTAGGGCTTACTGTAAACAGTGTAAAAAATCATTTGCTTATATTTCTGGTTCAAAAGTTTCTGGCACAAGTCATCTGAAACGACACATTGCCTTGGGAATCTGTCCAGCAAATCGACAGAAAAATCAGCAAAGTCCACTTTCAAAAAACTTGAGTTCTGGAGATACGGCTCCACCAAAGAAACGTGTAAGAGCAACCTCTGGATTGGGTGTAATCCCATTTGATCAGGAACGTTGCAACAGTGAGATGGCTAAGATGATAATTGCGCAAGATTATCCACTTCAGATTGTGGAACACAAGGGTTTCATTGATTTTGTACGGACTCTCCAGCCCCAGTTCAATGCACTAAGCTCTACTCATGTTCATGGGGATTGCATTTCAATGTACCTCAGTGAGAAGCAAAACCTCTCAAAACTTATCAGAGAAATTCCTGGACGGGTCAACCTGACCTTGGATTTATGGACTTCAAACCAGACAGTGGGTTATGCTTTTCTTCGTGGACATTTCATTGATGCTGGTTGGAATGTACATCATCCTGTTCTTAACGTGATCACGGTGCCATTTCCTGATTCTGATGATTCCTATAATAAAATGATTGTGACTTGCCTTACTGATTGGCACTTGGAGGGTCGGGTATTTACACTTGCACTTGATCAGTCCTCAAATGAGACTGTGTTGGGAAATCTTAGAGGACTCCTTTCTGTTAGGAATCCTTTGATTTTCAATGGCCAGTTACTAAGCAGGAATTGTTTTGCTCGGATTCTTAGTCGTCTTGCTCTAGATGCGCTATGGGCAATGAGAGACACCATTAGCAAAGTGCGAGAGTGTGTGAAGTTAGTGAAAATTTCAAAATCTAACGAAGCGAAGTTCATTAAGCTGAGGCAACAACTCCAAGTCCCTAGTACAAAAGACCTTTTTATTGATAACCAAACTAAATGGGACACGACTTACCATATGCTGGTCGCGGCCTGTGAATTAAAGGAAGTTTTTGCTTGCTTTGAGACCCCTGGCCATGATTACAGAATGCCTTTGTCTATGGGTGAATGGAAGGAAGTAGAAATTCTCTGCACATATTTGAAGCAGCTATATGATGCAGCTAATCTTCTAACTTGCCAACCATACCCAACCGCAAACTTATTTTTCTCTGTAGTGACCGATCTTCTGGTGGAGTTGACTCATGCAGCTTTCAGCCAGGATCCCTTCCTCAGTAATTTGATTAGGCCTTTGCAAGAGAGGTTTGATCAATATTGGAGAGAAAGTTGCCTCGTCTTGGCAGCTGCTGTAGCCATGGACCCAAGGTATAAAATGGAGTTTGTGGAATTAACCTTTTGTCAGATCTTTGGTGAGAATGCTGAGCCATGGGTTAGGGTTGTTGAGGATGGTCTTCACGAACTCTTGCATGAATATATTGTAGAACTTCTTCCTTTGACAACTACAGATGCAAATGAAGGGAATGAGATTATGATTAAGACAGAGCCATGTCAAGAAGGGTCTATTGATGGAAATGAGATTATGATTAAGACAGAGCCATATCAAGAAGGGTCTATTGATGGATCTCTTTTCATAGATACAGATGGATTATCAGACTTAGAAATATATATCTCTGATCTTACCAGTAACCAAATCAAGTCAGAGTTGGATCAATATCTGGAAGAGCCTCTGCTACCCAGAGTAGAAGAATTTGACATTCTGAGTTGGTGGAGACTAAACAGATCAAATTACCCCACTTTGGCTAGAGTGGCATCTGATATTTTGTCTATGCCATTATCTACTCTCTCTGCAGAGTCTGTTTTTGACACAGAAACTAGAAAAATGGATAGCTACCGCAGTTCATTAGGTTCTACGACTATCGAGGCACTTTTTTGTGCCAAGGACTGGTTACATCATCAATCATTATCTAATTCCAACGCACTAATGGAAATGAGATTTTGAAGTTAGGTTATTTCATATAAGGTTAGATCCACAAGTAGCTTTTAGGTATTGAAGTGTTACAACTGCATTCAGGTCTATAGTATAGCAATAATTCCATTTTAATCTTTTTTTGTTGGGGAAAATTATTTCCTCTGTACACAAGAAATTGATTGTATTCATGGTTTTAATGAAACACCTGGCAGATTTTATAGTCTCTTGGGTTGGTTTCAGCTTTTCATTTATGGTTTTGCTTATCAGAAAATGCTTCGGATTGTGATTTACAAATAGCTTATATGGAAAGTGAACTTCAAGGCATTGTGAGGATGAAAATTTCTTGGACATCCTCACTGCAGAATCAATTGTGCAAGTGCAAGTAGTTGATGGAAAATATTTAAAATAGATATAGATATGATGGTAGATTTCCTAAAAACATGCCAATTGTCTTTACAAAGTTCAAATGTCAATTTTAGTGAATTTTGTCTTAAAATAATGGGTTCAAATCTTCATGCATTTAGTGAATTTAAAGTTTAAAAATATTATGTTTATTTTGAATAAGAGAAAATGGAAAATAAGTAAAAAGGTTTTTTGTATTTATCTTTGTTCTTCTATTTCACTCATTGAAGTATTATGAGAATCTCTTATATAATTTGCCTTGCAAATTTTGTCAAACATGGTTGACTTAAGAGCTTAATTGGCTTAGAAGTGCTCTGGCAAAAAAACAAAAACAAAAACAAAAGGAAAATGACAATTGGGAGTTTCACAAGAATATTAATGACAATACACAAGAGGCTTTTATAAATTGTCATTAATATTTTTATAGAGTCCCTAATTGTTATTTTTTAAAAAAATGGTCTTATAAGTGGTATTTATATTATTACAATTTGCAATCCCGTACTGTGAACTAAATTAACCTAATTTAACATGTTTTAAAAATTATAACTTACATTTTATACTTGAATTTTTTACCTTTATAATTGAATTAATCACTATTAAGTTATCTAGCATCATTAATATTTTTATGGAGTCCCTAATTGTCATTTTTCCCAAAAAGAAAATGGTTTTATAAGTGGTATTTATATTATTACAATTGGCAATCCCATATTGTAAACTAAATTAACTTAATTTAACATGTCAATTAAAAATTATTACTTATGTTTTATGTAACATCTTGAATTTTTAATCTCTACATTAATACTAATTAAGGATTTAATTAGTGATTTAATACAAAATTAGGATTCTGGATAGTGAAATGTTATTTTAACTTGTTGGGATGGTGTATAAACAAATATGAGTAGAAGAATGGTGTTTCGAAGCAGAGCGTATGAGTATAATGAGGATTTCCCTTACTGTGTCATGCGTCGCGACAGAGGCTGGATGTGTCGCGGTGCATGGTACAGAATTATGATAAATGGGGACATGGTAGCTTGTGGAAAACAGAGAAGGAAACAAAGAAAAAGGGTCAAGTATGGATAAGAAAGGGTTCTCTGCTAGGGCAATGAGTTTCAGGAGAAAGGATGATATTTTTGACTTGTTACTTATCAGGTAAGTTTTGTAATGCCTTAACCTCCAATTCTACCATATTTTCTCTTAGTTTTAACAAGTAAGAAATTAAATTTAAAAGTTTTAAGAAGTTGATTTTTTACCCTATAGTAATAGAAATGTCTTTTGGGACTAAACTAATACTTCATGACTGATTTGAGTCGGAATGATAAAGCTTTGAAACTTTAAGTACAATTTGATCTAGTTTAGAGTGAGAGTAGTGAGAGAGAATTTGATTGAGAAAGTTAATGTTTGTCGTAAGTGATAATTGGTCACAATGCGCATAAATGAGTGTGAATAAAGGAGATGATAGCAATTAGGCGCTTAATTGTTGTAATGAGCACTTTTAGTCAATAGAGTAATTGACTCTAGGTGCCTCAATTATGTAGATTCTTGTGTGTAATGTGTTAAGATCGTGAAAAGGAGTGAGTAAGGTTGAGGAAAATACGAGTAACCTTTTTATTGGACAGAAGGGTTGAGGTAACCATATAGCTTGTTAGCTCATAAACTGTGTAGAAGTAAATGCACCATTATTTTATGAGGTTTGTATGCATGAGTTTACTATCAAACTAAGTTTAGCATAAAATTGATTTATGAAATAAAAGTTTAAGGATTTCTAGCTTGAATGAATATATATGTATGGTATGTGTAAAAGTTTATGGTGTGTAAATATAAAAAAAATAGTGAAATATATGTGAAAAGCATGATCATAGGGGGTGAGAGTTTACCAAGGGTATGTGTGGATGTGTGTGTGTGAAGATGTGAAAGAACAAATCCATATGATCGGATTAGCACTATAGGACATCTGGTACAACATTATACAAGCTGTTACCATAGGTAATTCGGTGTGACATTGTATTAGTCCTATTACCATGGAACATCCGGATAGTTTGGCAACTTCCTAGTGCTCGTTAAGGTATGGTTATGAGTCAACGATGCATTTATCATAAGTGTGTGAGAAGAGGAAAACCATAATCCACAGGTAGGATATATTATTTTTGGTTGGGTGTTTCTACCACTGAAAGTGTGCTCGGGTCAATACATGATTGATCTATTAGAGCCTATGGTTCTGTATTAGGGAGCATTAGAGGTTTGGTAGCTAGACGATCATGCTAATGTGGTAACTGTGTGGAAATGCTTTAAAAAGAGGAAATTCTATATGTATTTGATATATATATGCTATTACTTTGATTTTGTTATTTTGGCATAGTTATCTATGGTAATAAACATTTAATGAGCTATATTAGTTATTGAGATTTTGATCTCACCCGTGGTTATTTATATTTTTTAGGTTCTGGTACTAATAGTGAGAAGGGGAAGGATTTGGGCCAAGGATAAAGAATCCTCTACAAAGCCCATTGTAGGATGGTGTAATGAATTTGAGTAAATAGTAGTGGTTATGTATATAAATTGCATAAACTTGTGAATAGGAATCCATACTTATGCATAAACATGTGAATGTGTATATATGTGTGTGTAATTTTTGAGTTCTAGCTCACTAATCTTGTGTATGTGTGATGAAAATGATAATGTAGGCTAGATAATGAATGTTTGAGAATATAATAAAGTATATGTGAAAATTTGGCCTTGGATATGAATGAGATTGAAAAATAAAAATTTGCCCAAGTTATGTGTAATGAGCAATTTATAGGTCAAATGTGTGTCTACATGATATATTTCTTATATAACTATTCAATCATGTGTTTATTGTCCAACGAGATGTGGTTAAGGCCCTAGAAGTGGCTAATAACTTGTGGTTTCAAATGGTGATACTCAAGTGGCAAATTTTTACTTAAAATGGTCAAAATGCACTTAGGTGTCCAACTTTTAAATAGGGTATTGGATTTAAACGAAATAATGTCATTGGTTAGAATATGAAACAAACTTTGAGTGAGCATTTGAATTACCTCAATCGGATATCGAATACAAAAATGACGCACGTCTGAAGTTTGCATTAGAATCTAAAATTTGACAGTAGATTTTGATAGGTGCGCCGCGGTACTTGTGTCAATGAAAGACCACATGCCACAGTTCATGGCACAAAATATGTAGCTAAGGTCTCTATGCCACGTGCCGCAGTGCATGTGTCACAAGCTACAGCATATGGCCCACTTTTAGTGTGAATTTTTATGTTTTGAGTTGCTATTTGATATGTTTATATCTGGCGCTTCCATTGCATACTATTTTAACTAATGAAAATGGTTTCTATAAAGAGAGTTTCAAAAGTTTTATATTAGGATCCTAAAATTTTTAAAGTTAATTATTTTAATTAGTAGTTTGCGTGGAAGGTCGTATGGTAATGTTGTTAAGGCATTACATTGTATACTTGAATTTTTTACCTTTATGCTTGAATTAATCACTATTAAGTCATCTAGCCATTTCATATGAATATTATATAAAACATAAAATATATTATAAATTATATTATTTAAAAAGGATGAAGTAGAATATAGTCAAGGCTCAATTCTCTTCCCTTAAACATTTCAACAAAAAATTATTATTACTATTATTATTATTATTATTATTATTATTATAGGTAAATAAAAGAAAGTGAATATAGGGCAAAAATATAATAGTTAATTTTTCTCCAAATATTGTCCCTCTTTAATTACACCAAACTATTATTTTTACACACTTTATTAGATTTATTAATTTTAGTGGGGAAAAAAATTAAAAAGTCATTTTTTATGTTTAAAAATATTAACTATTAATTTTTTAAAATTGTGAAATTAGTTAAATTTGACTACTAAAAAACTTAAGACTTATAATTATATGTTTATACATAGGGTGAATGTGTAAATTTAACAATAAACTATTTTTTAAGAAGTATCCAATATCCTATATTATGGAGTGGTGTAAAATAAATAATCAAATATTTAAAATAGAGCACTTAGTAATTTCGGTTAAATTTAAGGGGGAATAGCACTAAGGGCCTTAAAAAGTAATGATTTTGCAGACAAGGCCTAGTAAAATTTGAAATTATTCTGAGGGCCTAAAGGCCTCATTTGCAATTATATTTTCTGGTGAAATGACTAATTTGTCCCTCTTATAACTAGCTACTAAATGACAATTTCTTCTTCTTCCTCTCTTCTTCCTCCCTCTTCCTTCTCTCTCTTCCTCTTTCAACACTGATGCAATAACCAAATTCATCTTCCTCCCCATCATGCTTCTCTATCCCCTCTCTTCTTCTTCCTCCTTCTTCCCTCTTTCTCTCATTGGAAGCTTTTTCATTCAACAGTCATAAGTGAGCGATCCACTTTTGTCCAGATGGCTATAGAGAAGACGATCAGGCATTCACCTGATTACATTCCTTTCATGCTAACCTGCTTCTTGGAATGATCTATCATAGTTGAAAAGAATGGATCAAGCTGCTGCATCTTCCATTGTAGAAGAAACTTTTTTACTGCTCGTAGGCTTGTCTTTGAGCTTACTTTGTCCATTCATCTTGATCAAAGTCTTAGAAGCTTCAATTGATCTATTATTAATTTTTTTTTGTCAAAAAAGGACATAGAGAGAGTTTGAGCCATATCAATTATATCTAGTCATAATATACATGTTCACATTCATTTAATGAAAACAAGTTGTCATTTATGGACTTTTTATTGTTTTTGATACATATTTTTCTACAGCTAATATATATGTTCTGGTGTAGATGTTATTTATAAAATTTATGTTGTTATTTAGAGTT